GGTACTGGTGAGTGCCCCCTCCATGAGAAGGCAGTGAGCAGGCAGAGCAGTAGCAGAGAGGGGAGGACCTGTGCCCTGGCAGTGACCTGCATCCCTCAAGTCTCCTGCCTGAAAGACAGTGGGGGAGCAGTGGTGGAACCCACTGCCCTGTGCTGGCAATGATGCTGGTGGAATGCCTGGTGCCCGCGGGTGGCTGTGAAGAGGCCAGGGCAGCTGCACGCTCATCAGCTGGGAAGCACAACACTGTTCCCATGCCCATGTAAGGCCCTCCTTGCATCCTGTGCCTCTGCTCAGGGATTTTTCCTTGCTTAGTAAACCTCCCTCCCTCTCTCTGAGAGGGACGGTTGGATGGATGGACACTGGCATGCATGTGACACACACTGCCTGCCCCCTCCCTCGTTCCCTGCACCAAAACTCCCTGCCCAAAACTGTGGGGGTGTATCTTCCTTTGAAAAGTGGGGAAACTGAGTCACTGAGCCCTGCCTGGGGGTAGCAGGAGACAGGGAACATGGTGTGGGGTGCAGTATTTCTGTGCCTGCGTTCAGGCGTGGGTCAGCCTGTGCCGGCAGTGGAACAGCCAGGATCTGGTGGTGACACTCCTCTCCTGACCGAGGATGCTCTGAGCAGTGGGGCCATGCTGGCATGTCTCAAATCAAGGGATACCCTAGGAGTGTCCCTGTCCCCCGGGATGCCTTCACTCTGACTGTGGCTGGATTTTGCCATGATGCTGGTTGGAGAGGCTGAGAAAAGATAGGGGACTATGCTGCTTCCCGTAGTGGGAGCTGGCCCCATGATGGATGGTTTGGCTGGGGGACGGGGAGTGCTGTGGTGTTTGGCTGCCGAGTCAGCTGGCGATTGCTGGTGCTTGGTTCTGGGAAATGGCGCCTGTGCCAGCCCCTGGGCCTGGCAAGGCTCCAGCCTGCCCTGCTCGCTCCTGCCACACAGGGGCCCACCAGTGCTGGGGGAGTGGGGGCGCTGGGCTGTCCCAAGGAGGGAAACTGAGGCACATTGCATAGCATGGGGCCAGGGGATCTAGGGGTTGTCCCCCCAGTGTCTCTTCCTGGGCAGCTGAAAGGGTGTATTGGGGAGCCATGCCAGGCTGCTGGGCCACGTGTGTGTGTGTGGTTGTGTATGTGAACTAGTGTGTATGTGTATGACCGTGTGTGCTCACAGATGCGTGCACGAGTGCATGAGCTGCAGGGAAGTGCACGTGTGTGCAAGAACATCCATCTGTGTGCACGAGCACGCTCCCACACAGGCGGGTGGTCACATTGCATGTGCTCCCCGTTCACTGCCGTCCATCCCTGCTGGCCTCATGCCAGGCCTGGGTTGTTTTTCAAGTGCCCCCTGCGATGGGACTCCGGGGGGGCAGGTTTGTCCATCATTAAACCGGGGGCTGGAGCAGGGCCAGGGCTGGGCAGCGAGGCATGTCCCAGCCAGAGCAATCGCTCCCGGTGCCCGCGGCGTTGACGGGCCTTTGGGCAGCTGTAGGACTCACGGCAGGTGTGGTGGTGGTGGTGAGGGGATGTGCCACCCCTCAGCTGGTGCTGGGGATACCCCCTGCTCGCAAAGCAAGTCAGAACTAGGAAGGGAAACTGAGGCAAGGGGTGGTTGGACACTTCCGGGAAGGCTTGACTCCTGGTGATCGTCACCCTCCAGCCGTGCTATGGCCAGGGGCCCAGGCAGTGTTTGGGGGTCTGGCTGTGCATTGCAGGCTCCCGGTGGCTGTGCCAGGAACAGGGGCAGCAAGGAAGGGACATCCATGTCCCAGCTGTGCTAGGCTCTTGCTCTGGGACTTGTGTCTGTCCGGTCCCTGCTCCCTGCCCCAGCCACTCTGCCTCTCCCCGTGCTGTCGAGGGGATGGCGTGTTCGTCACGCAGGAGCTGCCCGTCAGGTCCCTGTCCCCGATGCCCCCGTTCAAAGCCGCCCCCCCAGTGCTTTGGCACAGGTAATTAACAACACCCCTGCTCTCCACGACAGAGTGGGCGGGGCGGGGGAGGGAAGGAATAGTGCAGGAATATGTCCTTGACCCTGGCATGGGCCCAGCTGGGGTGGAGGGATGGGGAGCTGTGGGGCTCAGCCCTGCCCCGGTGCTGTGCCAGGTTGTATTTGTGCAGCAGGTCCTGGAGGGGGTTTTGTTTTGTTGTTTTTTTTTCCTTGCCTCTTTCCTTTTCCCCCTTCTTTACGTCACTGCCCAAATATTCAGCCTCTCAGCTCCTGTGGGGGGCCGGCTTGGCTGCTTGGAGGACTTGGGGCCCTTCTCTGCACCCTGGGGGTGCTGCACAGAGAGGATGGGCAGGGGAGAGGGGATGCTGAGATTGCCCATGCTGGCTGCACTGGTGAGCACTGGCCAGGACTGGCCTGGGAGGTGTCAGATGAGGCAGTGAGGACCACCAGCCGCCCTCCCCGGCAGCTCCCAGGGCTGCATCCATCTTCCCAGACCCCTCTCATGGTGGAAACTAGGGTCCAGGCCTGCCTCATTTCCCACTGATTTTCTCCCTTCCCAGACCAGTTTACATCCCCCACAGTGACTCCTCCTGAGACTTGCCTTGCTGCTGAGTCCTTTGGGACTCCCAGGACCCTCCAAGAGGTGGCAGTGATCCCAAAACAGCTGAAAGGTCTGGCTTAAGAAAGGCTCTACAGACCCTGCCCTGGGGCTTATCTCCTGTGTACTTTAATCTCTGGAGATGAATGCACCTGGATGCCTGGTCCCCAGGTCTCCTTTCTTCCACTGACATCTGGGGCAATGATGCTCAAGAGTGTTTTGGGTCACAGAGGAGCTGTTTCATGGGAGGGGTGGTTTGTCTGGGGTGCTGGGAGTCACTGGAGCCACTTTGCAGACCGCTGGACTTGCTCCCACTGGCACTTTGACCCTGTGGCTCTGGGAGATACTTTGGCAGCTGTAGTTGAAGGATGTTGTCAGGATTTCTCTGGCTGTGTCCTGTGAAAGGGACACGTCATGTGCCCAGGGGAGAGTTCCTGTCACTGCCCTGGGGACCAGGACAGGGACGTGCTATCAGTGCCCTTCGCTCACCCACTCATTTCCATCCCATTCAGTTGCTGATACTTTCCCATGTGGCCCCAGCTCTTCCTCTGCTGATGTTTCCCAGGGCCTGGGAGCCATCCTGCGGCCTCCTCCTGAGGAGTTTGGGCTCTGGGGCCTGTGCAGGGGTCTGTGCTGGAGCTGGGCTGGGGTCCATGCATGCTGTGCTCTGCTGGTGCTGGATATTCATTGCCCCTCCATCCTTGCTGCAGCACTCCCATCTTTTTGGGACACATGGTTTTTGTGGGCTGTGGATCCTGGCCTGGGACTTGTTTAGGGATGTCAGTGAATTCTGGCCATGGGGTTTTGTCCCTAGAGTGGTGGCTGTTGGGATCTGACCCTGTGCTGCTGGGTGCTGGGGAGGACAGAAGGGCTGGCTGGTGCTTGCTTGGGAGGGGGATGAGGAGATGCCCTCCAGAGATGTTTGGCTCTGGCGCTTTGTCCTTGGCAGCAGAAGGGGTCCACAGTGCCTTCTGGTGCTCCCATCCCATGGCACTGTTGGGTTGCTGCGGAAACTGAGGCATGGAGGGACTGGGAGAGATCTCCTTGAACTGGAGTGTACTCACAGGGTTGATGTCCCTTAGGGGGACATGGAGGTGGGCAATGGGAGAACCCTTTACCACACATGCCTCCGTGGTGACTTTTGAAGGGGTGGTGAGGTAGGAGGGGTACTGGGGTCCTGCACCGCTCCAGCAGAGCCAGTTCCAGCCTTTTGGCTGAGCCCACGGCTTCGGGACGGAAATGCAAACAGGAACGGGGAGGCGTTGGGTGAGAAAATGTCAACAGCACTGGGCCGGGTGCCTGGCTTGCTGCCTCCCTGACCAGCTCGCCACTTTCTGGGCCTCTGCTGGTGGGCTTCCCCCTTTGCTGTGGGGTCTCCTGGCACTGAGCACTTGCTTGTACAGCAGGGCTGGGGCTGGGTTGCCCCAGGGGCAGCAAGGGAGACCAGGGCTCCATCCATCGACATGCAGCCCCCCCGAGGAGAAGGAGAAGGAGGAGGAAGGGAGACAGGAGGAAGGCCAGGGGGATGCTGGGCACACTCCAGGTTTGGGACAGGCAAGCTGGGACTGGCATGACTTTACGTGCTGAGGGACAGACGGGGCTTTTCCAGCATTTTGGCTTTGATTTTTAGTTGAGAGACGGGCTGATAAATCTTCACATCCTCCGCAACACTGGGGGTGTGGGACACCCAAGGACCATTAGTTGGGCACTTGGTCCTGCATATGGCAGGGGGTGCCAGGCAGGCCCCAAGCAGGGCCCCACACACCGGTCCTTGCCACCCCCCCGCCAAGGGCACAGGGACGCCGGTGGCGTCACGCGGGGCGATAAGGCCCCGACCCCGCTGCACCCCGCCGCCCGCCGCGGCCCCTCGGCACCGGGGGCGAGGAGCTTTGAAGGGGGAGGTGGCGGAGGTGTGGGTGGGATAACTTTTTTTTGGGGGGGGGGAGGTCTGCCCACCTGCCGGCACCCCTACCCCAGAGCCAGCTGTTCGAGTCAGGCTCCCGGTTGCCTTTAAGGGCGTTTTTGGGGGAGGCGAGGGGAGCGGAGCGGGGCCGGACTTGGAGCGTGCCGTGCAGCTGGGGAGAGGGAAGAGGAGAAGAAAGAGGGAGAAGAAGCGAGAGAAGGGAGGGGAGCGGTGGAAAAAGCCGACCGGGACCCCATTCCTCCCCAGGGCCGGGGCCGGCGGCCCCGGGCTCCCCAGCCCCCGGCCGCCCCGGGGGTGCGGAGGGGAGCGGGGAGCCGGCGGGACCTCCCCGCGCCTCTCCATCGCCGGGGTCCCGCTTCTGGGGAGCGAAACCCTTCGGCTCTCCCCCTCCTTCCTCCCCTCCCTCCTCCCTCCCTCCTTCCTTCCTTCCTTCTCCAGGCTTGGCCCGGGGAGGGAGGGGGGCTCTGCCTGCAGTCTGCCTTCACGCCTGCCCGCCCGGGCGACGCCGGGCTCCCGCCTGCCCCCCGCGGCCCCTCCGGCCGCCCCCCGCGCCCCCCGGGCCAGGTGAGGCTGCGGTGCCGTCCCTCTCGGATGTAGGCAGGCGAGACCCCGGATGGATTTCGGGAGCGTCATGAACCAGGTACGAGCGGGCGGTGAGGGCACAGGGGTCCCCAGGCCCCGCGGGACGGGGGTGTGCTGGAGGGGGTGTCACCTCTCCAGGGGGCGGGGGCCACGCGTGATATCCGAGCGGCGATGGGATGGTGCGTGGAGGGGGGTGCGCCCCCGTGTTTGGGGGGGGTCCGCAGCTGTCTGTCACCGGAGGAGGTCTCGGGGTGCGCGGGGGCTTGAGGGCGATGCGGTGCTCGCAGGGAAGGAGGACTTGGGCAGGAGGTGAGGGCCGGTTTGCTGCCGGCAGCGACCTGTGAGCGGCTCCGGGGGCCGTGTCCCCCGTGCCCCTCTTCCCGCCTCGCCAAGGCCGGTGACTCTCAGGGGTGCCCCGGCGGGGGACACACTGGCGCTGGGGTTTGTGTCCCCGTCCCCCCCCGGCCTCCCAAGTGCGTAGGGACACGTCCCCGCGGAGCCAGGGCTGCGCGGGAAAGCGGGGTCCGCCCCCGGCACCCCGCTCCCGCCCCGCAGCCGGGGGGACGATGCCGGGCGCCTGTCACTCCCGCGGGGGGGGACACAGTGGGGGGCTGCCCCGCGGCCGGGACACCCTGGCAGCCCACGGGTTAACCCCCCCTCCGCGGCGGGACCGTCAATGGTTAAACCCCGGGTTAATGAGTGGCGAGGCAGCTCCGGCCGGTGCCAGCCCCCCCCGCCGCCCCCTCGGGCAGGGATCCCCGGCCCCTCGGCGCCGCCGGGCCCGCAGAGGGTTAACTCCGTCAGGGCAGGTCCCAGCGCAGATGTTTTTGGGTTGTGCTTCTGGGAGAGGAAACGACCGAGCGAGGGAGGCATCAGCCCGCTTGCGTTTAAGGGGAAAACAAGGAAAAAAAGAGAAGTGCTCCGTTCCCGGGCGCCTGAGCCCGTTCGGCGCTGGCGTCAGCCCTGGTGCGGGACCGGTGACCCCAGTGTTTGTGCTGCGGGACAGCTGGTGGGGACAGTGGGGTGACAGTGGCTGCGCCCCCTGGGTGCTCGTGGCACTTAAGTCTGGGCGTTCTGGGGGGCAACCAAGCAGGCACCTCTTGTCGCTACACCGTGATGGCACTGCGAGGACAACGCGTAGCTTGTCTGGAACCTGAAGCCACCTCCAGGGGAAGTGTATCAGTAGAAAACAAGCCTCCAGCTCTCACCCGCTCTAGCGAAGCCCCTTCTTAGTGATCCTGCTGGCCCCGGGCAGGGTGCTGGGCCTTGGAACTGTGCTCCCCCTGTGCCCTTTTGGGATCCCGAGTTGGTGGGGGGGTCCATTTTCTCCTGCCCTCGGCCAACCTCCTTCTTGCTTTGCCCCTATTTGGTCCCTGGCCTCGTGCAGCCTGTCTCTGGGGTATCTGGTCACAGTGCCAGCAGACCCTGATCAGCACTGGAGCTTCCCTGGCATGTTTTGGGACACAAGAGAGAAGAGCAGTCACACAGCACAGCTCCTGGGTAGGAGGGAGTATCTTTGTCTCCACTTCTCCCTCCTATTCCCTCATATCTTCAAAACTACACATGGGGGGGACACCAGTTTTGGAGGTGCTGCTCAGCATTTCAGTTTCACTGTAGTGTTTTCACCTTTGTCCTGCAGGGTGAGGACGCAGCACTGACTCCAGTCTCCATCTGCCTTGAGTCTTTCCCTGACAGAGCCCCTGGGCTCAGTACTGGGGGGCTAAGACCCCCCGGGGCAGCCAGGGTTTATTTTGTTACCTTAACCACCCCTCAAGGTGGGTCCCAGCCCCATGGGCACTGGCAGATGCCGCTGATGCTGGGAGGCAGCCCAAAGTGTACAGTGGGACCTGAGTGCACAGAATGGGGTTTGCCTGATGCTCCAGCAGAGTGATCTGTGGGAAGGATCCCACACGGGGCTCAGGGTGGGGCACAGACAGGCTGGTGTGCTGACCAGCTCCACAGGAGCGCCTGTGCTCCAGCCAGTCCCATGTCTGAATCCATTTGTTGATCAGTCCCATGTGAGAATCCGCGCGCCGGCGAATCCCGTGTGGGAATCACTGCTCTGGCCAATCCTGCATGAGAGTCTGTGCTCTGCCCAATCACCTCTCAGAATCCATGGATTGACCAGTCCTATGGCACAGGCCGTGGAGTGATTAATCCCATGTGAGAATCCATGTGCTGGCCAATCCTGTGTGAGAATCTGTACCTTTACTAATCTCAGGTGAGGTCTGTGCACAGACCAACTCCAGACGAGAAACCAGTTGCTGCCCAATCTCATATAAGAATCCGTGTGCTGACCAGTCCAATGTAAGAGCCTGTTCATGGACCAGTCCTGGTGAAATCCCCTGCAGCAGAGTCTGTCCCAGACAGTCCTGGTGTGACTCTGTCCCTGGCCTGTTCTTGGTGCAGAAGCTGCTCCCTGGCCAGTCCTGGTGTCTGGTTTGGCTCTGGGGAGTTGCTGAGGGGGTGGGGGGATCCTGGTTCTTTTTTTGTGGGGAAGGCTTGTGCAGAGGGGGCAGTGACCCCATGCTCTCCCTTAGGCTGGCTGTGGGGTCCCCATGGGACTGGGCTGAGGGGTGTCCCCACAGTGGGGTGGCAGCACATGTGTGTGGTGCTGGTGGCAGAGCAGGGCAGGGCTGGGGCTGTGGGGCCAGAGCCAGGCAGGCGCGTGCTGGCCCGAGGAGCTGGATCCAGACCTGCTGCCTCCAGATGTTGCCTTTTTAGGCACTGGAGCACAGCATATCCCTGCCTGTGGCCAGCCCCGTGCCGAGCCAGTGCCTGCAAGCAAAGTAGGGACAGTCCCTGTCCTGGTCATGTGGAGGCATGTCTGTTCCCCTCCTGACCCCCAAAAGCACCCTTCTCCCTCCAAACAGGGTCAGGGATGCTACCTTCTCTCCCTTCCCCTCATCTGCACTTGGCAGCACTGAGGTTGATTGCTCAAACCGCCCCGGAGCCGGGACCTGCCCTTATTTGGGTTGAAACCAGGGCTATTTTGGTGCAGCTGCCTCCATTGCAACTCCTTGAAGCTTCTCTGTACATCGTTTTTCCTGTCCTGTCCCATATCCCTGTGCCAGGGCTGCTAGCCAGGCCAGCCATGGGCTGCTGGGAGCCATCATCCTTCTCCATCATGCTGTGTGTCCCACGATGTCTTGGGGTGCCAATGGTGGCATCCACAGCCGCTGTGGGGTGGAATGGCTGGTGTCCCCTGTGGCATTTCATCTGTGATTTGCAGGGCAGTGTGTACTGGGTAACCTCTGTCCTGGTCCTGCTGCCGCCTTCCTGGTGGGGATGGGCCACAGGGCGGCTCCTCATCAACATACCAGGGGAGAGACAGAGGAGATAGCGTTTGTCCCAGCCCGGGGGACATCCCTGAATGGCTCTTTGCCCTGTGGTACTCTCCCTGGTGCCCCTAGCATCTTTTGGGCAGTGCAACGACAGAGTAGACTTGATGGCCTCTGTCCTGCCACGGGTGCTGTCCAGGCATCCAGGCATGGAGAGGATGGCACAGTGACAGTCTCTGAGCCAGCTGCAGGGCGGGCTGGGGATGCTTGGAGGGAAGCCTGGGAGCGGTGAGACCTCCGTGCCCCAGCATCAGCCCAGTGTGACTCACCCTGAGCCGCTGGCCAAGCCGCTCCCCTGCCCTTCTGCGCATCTGCCAGTTACCCCCACCCGATGGAAGAAGTCCCAAAAGCAGCACCCCTGGATACTGGTGGGGGCAGAGAGGGGCTGTGTGATGCACGGGGTACTGTCCCCTCCCAGGGACCCCCATACCGGAGGTCTGCGGTTCCGTGTGGCTGCCCTGTGCCTCACACACCGGGGCTGTGCTGGGCAGGGCGGAGCTGGAGTGGGGGGGGAGAGGGTGTGCATGGAAACATGCCGTCCTCTGCCGGGGACATGTTGCATAAACAGGAGTTTTGCCAGAGCTGCAAAAAATGTGAGGGCAGGAGCAGCCAGCACGTGGTGTAGGCAGAGGGTACCTGACCCCTGTTCAGGGCAGGGGGGTGACCAGAGCACAGACACCATAGGCCCTTATGCCTGGCAGGGGAGAAGGATGCTGGAGAGGGAAAAACCTTTCCCAACATCCCCAGTTTAGTGGTCCCAACCTGTCCCCTCAAAGTGTTTTCTGCTGTGATGGCAGCTCACACTTTGCCCCACACTGTGGCTAAGAGTGGGCTCAGCAGGGCTTGGTGGCTGTGGCTGGGCTGGAGGGACTGGTGAATAGGGGGAGGGCTCTAGGAATGGCTGGAGAAGTTGCTGTCGCCTGTAGCTGTCCCTGGGATCCCCTTTACTTGAGGCAGGGTCTTGGGGTGAGCAGAGAATTGTGGGTTGCATGGGGAAGTGATTCGCAGCCCAACTGGTATGTAGGTGGCACAAAGCTGAGATGAACTTGCTTAGGAGGAAGTGGTCCCTCGTGGGGTGATGTGGGACCCCATGAGGTGGGATCACATGGGCTGAGCTGGCATTTATGCTGCCCAAGCATTGTCCTGTGGGACGCCAGTGTGGCCACAAAGTCACATTCCTCTTTGACAACTGCGTTTCCAGACCACAGAGTGGCTTGGGCAGGGGAACCACTTCCAGGGCTGGAGGGAGTAGGGTGCCATGATTTCCTCTCTTGGGGTCCACATTCTTTCTAAGTAGTGGGGCCATAAAGCTGGCTTGCTTTGGGAGGGTCTGGGATGTCAGTGTCCCTTTTGACAGTGTGTCTCCAGCTCCAGCCACACCAGCTGGGCTGGCTTGCCAGCATCAGTACCTGGCCGTGGGAAGCATCTCTGGTGTGGGGGGGTCTGTGTGAGGGCTAGGGTGGCCGGTGCTGCATCTGCTCCTGGCACAGTAAGGGTCAGCACCAGCCCGGATATCGTCCGGCTCCGGAATGTTTATCGGAGCTCCTGGGGAAGGGAAAAACAAAAACCGCCACCCAAAGGAAGGGATATGCGTCAGAGATGGGCCTGGATCACCCACCGGCAGCCGGACGGGCCATGCTGTGGGCTGTGGGCCAGTGCTCACCCGGCTCCAGCAGCACCGCTGGGGAGACCCCGGCGCGCCCAGTACTGCACTGATCCAGCGTGTTCCTCAATCGCAGGGCCCCTCCATGGAGGTTTGTTTTCCCCCAGCCCTGCTGGCAACTTGCAGGTTGGGGTTACAACCCACAGGGATGCTCTGCTGGAGCAGGACCTGGCAGTGGCCCTGGGCACTTGTATGGGTGTAAGGTTGTTCTACCGAGGGAGGGGGAGGGAGGTGTGAGCAGTAGTTGCAGCATGGAGAAGACTCTGAGGTGTCTCATCTCTGGATAGGAGGTGGATGTCTGCATTCCTCCAGCCTCGCTTAGTTCCTGTGAAATGGTGCTGAAGTCCTGTTGGGATCCGTGGTGCAGAGGTCAGTGCCTGAGCTGCAGCTGGAGGGCTTAGGTGCTAGAGAGATCTCACGAGCTACTCTGCACTGTGGCGGTGTGGCCAGTGACTGTCAGGGGTTTGGCAGCCAGGTGTTTATTTCTGGGCTTGGACATGTCAAGAGTGTCGAGTTTCTCTAGGTATAGTGACAGCTGGTGATGAGCTAGGGAGCCCATCATCGCCTTCCAGCGGAAGGCTGCAGGGTGTGCCCAATCCTTTATGAGGCATCAGAGACTCCTATCACTCGTGGCCACGGGGCCTCGTGTGCTGGGAAACTGATTTTTCTGCTTGGCAGAACTCGGGTCTCAAGGCAGCAGCTCGTGGGATGTGGCTGCTGGGAGGGATGGGGCTACGAGCTGGGGGGCCGAGTGGGAGGGTGGGGGACCATGGGGGGCTGGCGGGGTGGGCGGCAGCCCTGCTGCGCCTCGTTCCTCGCATTCCTGGGCAGGGCTGCTGGGCGGCGGGGTCGGCGGCGGGGGCCAGCCGGCAGGAATGCAAACACCGGTGAGGGGGGAAGAAAGGCCGCTGTGTCTGCCACGGCAAAGCGAAGCCTGGACCAGGGCTGTGCGGGTCCCCCTGCCTTTCCCACCCCTCCCTGCATCCCTGAGGACAGAGATGATGGCTATTCTGAGGGTTGCTGCAGTCTTGTACGGAGTGATACTCTCACCGGTCCCGTGGGACAGGAGGGGTCCACCTCTAGGTCAGGAACTGGACTTCCCTAGGGAGGGGTCCATTGTCTGGGGCAGGGTCTTCCTTCTTCTTCCTGAACTGGGGGCATGTGTGAGCCAAACCTGAGAGAGGGAAACAGCTTTTGCATTCCTGCAATCCTTGTAAAACTGCCTTTCTGGGATGTGAGAGTGTCATGCAGCCTGAGTTGCTGTCTCCTGTGGATGGGAAGAATGATGTCGGGTGATACAAGCCCACATTAGACATCAGAGAATCCTTAAGAGCAGGGAAATATAACCACAGGCACCCCAGTTTTTTCCCTTTTCCAGCCAGAGGTGCATTTGTAGCCTGCAAACTTCCTCATACCGAAAGGAGGACTGAGCATGGACCCTACCTGGCTGTGGGACCGGTGTGTCCCATTGTGGGGGAGCTGTGCATTTCCCCCCATCTCTGGCCCTGCAGCTGAGGCTGGGCGGGGGTCAGGGGAGCGTGTTGAGCATCCCCAGGGGAGGAGCACGGCGGTGTGCGGGGCACGGTGCAGGGTACGGCACAGCCCTCGTCGGTCCGTCCGCAGTGGCGGCTCGCTGCCGGAGAACATTCCAGGGAGGCTGGCGCGGGGCCAGCGCCGCGGGGCAGGGAAAAGGGCCTTTTATGGAAGCATTTCTGCATTAGAATAAAATCATAATAATAATGCGCAGGGGAAGGGAGCGGGAGGAGGAGGAACCCCTGAAGAAAACAGTGAGGTGGGACGGGAACAGGCTGGCAGTCGGGGAGGAGAGCAGGAGAGCAGGAGCTGATCATCACGCTCTGGGGACCAGGATGGGATGGAAGATGGGTGCTCCAAGTGGGGTGTTTGGGGCAAATCCCTCTTTTTATGGCCCGGGGCAGGAGAAGCAGAGTGGGCTGCAGTGGGTCCCCATGCTGCCATGGTAGGGAACCAGCCCCTGAGCGGTGTTTTCCATCTTGGCTCCATGCTGGGATGGAGAAGGGGATGGCTTACTGGGGTCACTGCCCCTGGTGGGATTTGTAGAGGACAAAGTGCCCCTAATCACACCCTCCCACTACTGTTGGCATCTGTGGGCTGACACAGTGCTGGAGTGCCTGTGCCCGCTGCCCTGACACTGATGAGGTGCTGCCTCTCCCACCCTGGCATGCTGCTGCTTCCCAACAGACTGGGGTGCACACAAAACCCAAGGTTAATTGTCAGTAATTGCCTCTGGTAATTAAGGTAACAATAGCCGGGCTGTTCAGTTGGCGGCTGCAGGAGCTCACGAGGCTGGGCTGGGGTTTGTTCCAGGAGCTGCTCTTGGCATCAGGCGCCCGCCCTGCGCTGCGCTGTGCTGTGCTCGCCATGCCCACCCGGGCTGGGGCTGGGGCTGTCCTGGCTCCCTGGCCAAGGACGAATGGCACAGCTGCCATGGCCCTGAGCCCACTCCCAGGAAGCCAGCCTTGACTTCGGGATGCTGCCTATGCTCCTGCCTGGGGTGGCAAGGCCATGGATGCCCTTGTCACTTGCTTGGGTGGGTGCTGTTTTCCCTGTGGGATGGGTAGGGGGTGAATGCTGCATTCCAGCCTCTTCTCGTGCCCTATGTTGGACAGGGGTGTTCAGGGACTAATCCTGGCTCTCTTCTGCTTCCTTGCAGGCTGTGACCCCCTGCTCCCCCACTGTCAACTATGAGCTGGTAAGTGACACCTCCACTGTGAGCCATGGGTGACAGCCAGGGCTCTGGGGATCCTGGAGCTTCGTGCTCTGGGTATAGGGCTTTATCTGTCCCGGGGCTTTAGGATGTGAATCTTCCACCCTCAAAACCACAGGGGTCCTGAGTTGGGGGTAAGGGCACCCCCATTTTCGTGCTGTCTCCCCCCACCATTGCTGGCTGAAGTGCATCCCACATCTGAGCGGCACAAATTGGAGCAGCCCAGCTATCACGGCACTCGTGGAGCTTTCAGGGAAGAGGGGCTTGCAGGGTTGCTGAGAGACAGATAGGACGTGACCACCCAGGGCTCTGGGGTCCCCTGGCGCAGAGGGCCTTCTCTCCCTGGCCAGAGTTGGGGCGGTTTCTTGCACACCCGGAGATAGCTATACCAGATGTGCCTTTGGCTCGGGGCGCCCAAGGCCGTGCATTTGCAGCTCATGTTATTGTCACCCTCTACTATTGTCTGTCCTGGGGGCCTTTAACAATCTGCTGGGGCCAGGGAGACGGAGGCTGTTCCCACCCTGTCCTCTCTGGACACCAGGAGAACAGCTGGATGCATCATCTCCGTTCACCCTGTCCTGGGGAGGGCGGGTGTGGGGGTTCTGGGCAGACAGCCACAGACCTTTGCCACACTGCTCCAGGCCATGATTGGGCTCTGGGGATACCAGGGTGCTGGGATGTCACCTGGAGCAGGGCTGTGCCCAGCTAGAGGCTTGGGAAGCACGACACGATGGTGCCTACCAGGCAGCATCTTGCCCCCAGAGCAGCTCCCCTGCCCCATCCCCAGGCTGGTGATGCCTGTGGCAGCAGGCAGAGCAGGCACGTGGCAGCAGGGAGACTGGCATAGCCCAGGGCTGGTGCGGCAGCCCTTCCTTCTTCTCCAGACGTGTGCCAAGGCTTGCTGGGGCAGGTGCTGGGGAGAGGAGGCCCTGGCAGGGTTTCAGCTCGGGCTCGGCAGCCTGGCAGTGCCGCAATATCCGTGCCTCACACGGGGCCCTGGACTGGGCAACCCACGGCTGGGCAGGGGTCTCACCTGAAATGTGAGTGTAGGGGATGACCACCTGCAAGCTCATGAGGGCAGCACAAGAGCCCAAGTGAGCGAGGGCATGGTGTGGGAGCGGAACATGCTGCCTGCCCTGGGGCCCCATGGTGGTTATCTGCCCTGGGTTTAATCTCTGCCTGCACCCCCCCGCCCCTGCCAACCTCCTTGGCCACTTATCGACAGCAAAAATATGTTGGCTTTGAGCTGGGACCGTTACTGTGGCTTTGGGAGGAAATCGAAAGGGGTTACCCTGCTTCATGGATGGAAATGTCTGCTCTGGTCCTGCTGCCAAGAGTGTAGAGCAGCCTGGTTTTGGGGGTGACCTCCATCTTTGTGGTCCCAAGACTCCCATCTGGGGACCTACCCAGCTGGCTCCTTTTGCTGTGCCACCCCCAGGCACCACAACCACCATTCCCAGACAGGTATCTGTCTCCTGCTTTCTATATTTGGGGTCCAGACACTTTCCCTCACCCGAGAAGTTGATTCCTGTCCCCAGCCTCCTTTCAGAGCTCTCTCCAGTGACATCTCACCAAATTTTCTCCTGTTTTGAGCATCTCAGAGCCTGGCTCTGCTTCCACTGGGGTCCTTCACTGGCCCTGTAGGATCAGGCTTATCCTGGGGAGCTGGTCCTCCTGGTGACTTGGTGCCAGGCTGGGTGTGGAACTGCACTGGTCTTGCCCTGTTGTTGACTTCCCAGCTGTAGGGTCTGACCATGTAGGATCCATCTGGAATCCCAGACACATGGGGGGCACCAGGTGCCCATCGTGGAACAGACTCAGGGTCCAGTCAAATGCTTCCCATTGGCAACAGTGGTCCAGTGCCAGTGGTGGTGGCTGAGAGGGAGGATGGCGGCATCTTTGGTACCTGAGTATCCCAACTCTGCACTTGGGTTTTGGGGGATTCCCAGCCTTCAGGAAGAGCAGACATGTTGGCAGGCAGGGAAGGGAATGGAGCCGTGATGCATTTCCTAGGAAGCACCAGAAATAGCCAGGGGGAACTTTGGGCCCTGGCCCTGCTGTGCGTGCGTGTGTGCGGGTGCGTGGGTGTGTGTGTGTGTGTGTGTGTGTGTGTGTGTGTGTTCCTCTCACAATCTCTCTTCTCTCCTTGCTTTTTTCTCACCCTCTCCTTGCTCCTGTCTGCAGACATCCCTGGGGGAGAGCATCACCAAGCAGGTAGAAGTCCTGGTAAGTGCAACCAGTCAAGGAGGCTGATCACTGCCTCAAGACCTCCTGGGGGGTCACTCATACCTGTCCCATTACTGCAAGCACCCCTTGCAGCCAAAATACCTCAGCCTGGAATGCTCCCAGCATACCTGGACCTGGGACCCTGAAGTCCTCTCTCTCTGCCAGCCAAGGTGATGATGTCTGTGCTAAAGACCAAGTGAGATGCCCAGGGTTGGTGGCAGAGGCGGTGGTGGAGCCCAGCATACTGGAGGCTGAGGCTTTTGCTGCAAAGCTGGCTTTCCTGTCTTGGAGCTGGGGATCTGTTATTTAATCTGTGGACATGAAATTGCTAAGACAGTGTAGACAAATGCACTGCCAAAGTCAACGCGGACAGCTTCCCCCCTGCCTGCGGCCAGCTTGCTGGCCTCCCTGTGTGTTGGGGCTGGGACCCAAGGGATGGAGGCATGATGGTTCCCATGAGGAAGAGGATGAAAGCCTTCCTCACCTGAGATCTGACTTTGCCTAATCCCTTTGGTTGTCCAGGACATGTTTCCAGCCCTGAGAAAGAGCATCCTCAGAAAAATCAAGTCAGAGGTCTCCTTTGTTGGCTTTGCTGTCTTTCAGAGAAGTCTCTTGGTATTTCTGAAGCCTTTCTTGTGCCTTTCTTCACCCTTTCCAAGCAGAAGGGACCTGCAGGTTTTGGGTGCTACCAGGAGCTTGGGGACATGCCAAACTAGCTTGCAACTGGAAGGCATATTCTTGATGGGGTTGGCAGAGGGATCTTCAACCCAACATGACTGGGACCAGCCTGTCCTGTGCTGTGCTGGACTGGGTTTTACTGGCTTGGCTGGAGTCTGTCTCCACAGGGGACGTTTGCAAGGTCTCCCAGCCCAGTGGCGGGCAGGAGTGTTTAATAACAGGAGTGCTTGCTCCTATCAGCTGATTGCAGGCTGACTCTTCCTCGTGCAGGGGCTGGCGGCAGAGACACAGCGCGGCTGCGGTCGGGAAGAGGGGAGCAGGGCAGAGCCCGGGGAGCGGGGCAGAGCTCGAGGGCTCCTGCCAGGGCTGGGGAGACACTGGAGGGCCCTGGCTGTGGGCACCCGCTCCCCCGGGTCTGGAGGGTGCCGGGAGTGGACCCGCCATGGCGTGGAAGTGGATTAGCAAGGGGCTCACTGCTATCCAGGTATGGGGAGGGGCTCTGGTGTCCCTGCCTTGCTTGCCCTCCTGTGCCTCAGTTTACCCATGTGGGAGCTGGGGGTGATTCCTGGTTTACCTATGTCAGCACTCTCTTGGGAAGGGCTGTGGTTTTGGGAAGCTGCTACAGCTGGATGGGGTGGCGTGGACTGATGGGGCTCCCCTGGCCAGTGGATGTGGGACCCCAGAGATCTCCATTATGAACATCTGGGGCACTACCATGGTGGGGATCCCATCCTGATCACTGGTGGGTGGTGCACAGATGAGCCCATATTCAGGTTCAGGCTTGTTCCACGCATCCTGGCTCTCCCAGGAAAGGTTTTACCGCTCTTTTTGTTGCATTTTAGCTCCTTATTTGTCCTCAGCAATGCTGGGGGGTTTCTAGAGTGAGCAGCCAATTTGGGACACCCCGAGGGAAAACTGGAGGGGGAGTTGTCACTACTGTTCAAGCACCACTGAGGCAAAGCTGCTGCTTTCTGGAATGGCTTTGGCTGGGAGGGGTGGCATTGTCCCCAAGCCCCATAGTTGCTGAGCCTGGCTCTGCTCTGCAGGGCAACCTGACCTTGAGAAGGGGCATGCAAGGCTGGTAGAGGGTGACACTGGCTGTCCATGGGAGCAGCTATGAGACTGTGCTGGGTGGGCAGAAGGTGGCAGGTGAAGGATATCAGGGAAACTGCTCTCCTACCTCCTCCCATTCCCTTTGGTGTGCTGATTGTGGGATGCTGCAGCTCTGAGGAGAGTAGCAGCAGTCTTGCAGCTCTGGGGACCAGTGGGGCATCCCAGAAATCAGCTGCAGGATGCATCTCTTATTTCTGATCCTTCCAGGCATGTTGCCTGTGTGAGATGAGTCTTTAAATGACTTCTGCTTATTAGCTGGAGATACTAAAACTAATGAGGTGCGAGTGTGTTTTTCCTCAGCGGTTTTTTTTTGGAAACCCTGCTTTGTTTTTCGGCTGAGGTCACAAAGTCACAGAGCAAGCCGGCTGCAGATGAAATTTTCGAGGCCGGAGAACATGCATAAATAGAAGTTTCCTGCTCCAAGAGCTCAAACATTTCCTCCAGGCGTTTGGCTCGGTGGAGCTGGGGCCAAAGCAAACTTGTGCCTGGCTGGCTCCTCGATGCCGCTCGGGCAGCGAACCTGGCCCTGCTCCGGGCAGGACCAAAACAGCTCTGTCCCACTAGGTGTGCCCACAGCCTGATGGAGACAAGAGGGACTTGTGACATGCCTGAGACTGTGTCTACCTGCTCAGCATCCTCCCAGAAGGTCCTCTGGGACCCTTAGACAAGGCACTGGCCCCACAGTGCCCATGGCAGCTGGTCCCAGTGGCACTGGGGTTGTGAGAGTTGGGTTTTGCATGGGAGATGTGTCATGCTGTATGTGCCACTGGGGTGCTTGGTGGGACTTGGAGACAGCGATATTTTGGGGGTGTTAGGATGCTCAGTGCAGTGTGGTGGAGGTGGGATGCTTTGGCAGCACTGTCACATCCAGGTCTAGAAAGACTCCTGTGCTGGTTGTGGCTGGGTCGTGGCAGTAACTTGCTTTTCCTCTCTGGTTCTTTAGGATGCCACAAAATCCCCCAGGAGTGGGCAGTCACGCTGCAAAACATCCAGGTACTTGCCTCGGTTTCCCTTGGTGGTGACCATCTCTGCTCTGTCTGAAGCCCCCTCCCATCAACACCTGCTTCTCCAGAGGTGCTGTACCTTGGAGATGCTCCCAGTGAAGAGCACATCTCCATCCCCAACCCAAGGCGCTCCAAGAGGACTGGAGCAGGGGAAAGGCCACAGGCAGCCGTGTCCCCATGTGTCCCAGTCTGTCTTGCAGGGTAGGGAGGGGTCCCCGTGTCCCCTCCCAGTGCCATGTCTTGACAGTGGTCCCCTTCCTTGCCCAGGAGCATGAGCCTGACTGCAGCCATGGAGAGCAGCTGTGAGCTGGACCTGGTGTACATCACGGAGCGGATCATCGCTGTCTCCTACCCCAGCGTGGCCGAGGAGCAGAGTTACTCCAGCAACCTCCGTGAAGTGGCCCACATGCTCAAGTCCAAGCACGGGAACAACTATGTGGTGAGGGGCACAGCCAGGTCCCTGTCAGGCTGGTGGAGGGGCTGGGTTCTCAGCTGCTGGGGATGGGTGCTTGCAGGCCATGGATACTGCATCCTTGTCTCCATCTGGGCTCTGTTCAGGGAGGGTTTTTGCACTATGCTGGATAGATTTTTTTCTTCATTGAAGATTTCCAGTCCCTTTCAGACCCCCTAGGAGTTTTTGGTCATTGTATTGCCCTGTGGCAAGGTGTCACTGAGGGTAGTGTGTCTGGGGAAGCCTCTCGTAGCAGGATTTAGGAAGGCTTCGGGGTGAGGAAGAGGTGAGGTGGCAGCAAGGGAGGAAGATGTCCTCTCACTCTGTTTTTCATCTTCCCTAAAGCTTTTCAACCTCTCTGAGCGGAGACGTGATGTCAACAAACTTCACCCCAAGGTGGGTCACAGCTGTGAGAAGCAGCAGGGTCTCAGGGACCTCAGGGCAGGCCTGTCTACAGGACCAGCTCCCTGTTACAAGATGTCTAGGGGAGAAACAGACACCTTTTCTGTTCCATCCAGCTGGGAAAAACTTCGCACTGTGTTTGTGGTATTTCAGCTTGACTCCCATTGCCCTCCCAGCCCTCCATTCTCAGTCCAAAACTGGCTGTTTGGAATCTCCTGGAGACCTCCCTAAAGCATGTCCTCATCCCTCTGATAAGGGGGGAGCCCTCAGAAACTGAGCCAAGTAACCTGGGGTGAGGGGCCTGAGATCTGGGACCGCGGTGGCCTCCCTTGGCCAGGGATCTGGGCAGTGGTGTGCAGGGTTGGGAGGCTGCGTGTCAGAGCAACACAGGAATGCCTGTGCCCTGGGCTTTGCCCACTGGCAGGCTGGGAACTCTGCATGGGAGTGCCTGTGACCCCAGGCTGTTTGTTCCCCTGTTCAGGTGCTGGATTTTGGATGGCCTGACATGCACACCCCTGCGCTGGAGAAGATCTGCAGCATCTGCAAAGCCATGGACACATGGCTCAACGCAGCGGCACACAACGTGGTGGTGCTGCACAACAAGGTGGGCAGGACCAGTCACTGGGGCACAGAGATGGGGGCACTGGGGTCTGTGGGGCTGCAGGGATTGGGCTGAGCAGCCTCAGAGGCTGAGAGATGTAGAGAATGCGGTGGAGAGAGTTGTGGTTTGGGGTGTGGGCAGGTGTCAGCACATATGTGTAGATTGGTGTGTGTCTAATAAGGGTTGGGGCATGCTTATAGGGATCAGTGTGTGCCTCTGTGTGGGATGTCTGTGCCTGGGTGCTCCCAGGCCCTGCTGTCCCCGTGACACCCCTTCTGCTGTGTGCCTGCAGGGGAACCGTGGCCGGCTGGGGGTGGTAGTGGCTGCCTACATGCACTACAGCAACATCTCTGCCAGGTGAGAGAGACATGAGATCCTGGGGTGGCCCTGGGGCCCACTGGTGACCTTCATCCCGGTGGTGCTGGGGTGCTGGTGCCAATACTTTCCTTCAACCTCGTCTGCCCTTTGATCCCCACAGTGCTGACCAGGCTCTGGACAGGTTTGCCATGAAGCGCTTCTATGAGGACAAGGTGGTTCCAGTGGGACAGCCATCCCAGAAGAGGTGGGTCCTGGCACGCCTTTGCAGGCTGGGTTTTTCCCCATAGGGTGGTTGGATGCAGGGGTCCATGGTGAATGTTCATCTGTGGGTTCTACCCCTGAGCTGCCTGTCTGCCCTCCAGGTACATCCATTACTTCAGTGGGCTCCTCTCTGGCAGCATCAAGATGAACAACAAGCCCCTCTTCCTCCACCACGTCATCATGCACGGCATCCCCAACTTTGAGTCAAAAGGCGGTAGGTGGCCCCAGCTGCTTCCCCAGCCTGCTTCTTCCCACACCACCACCCCACACTGCCTGGACAGCTTTGTCCTCCTTGGGGGGTATTTTCCACCATTTCCTTGGCAATTTGAATTTCCTTTTCTCTCTCAGAGACTGTGCACTCATATTAGCAGGGTGCTATCTTTTCTGGCAGAGATGCCCTCAGAGGATGCCCTCCCGATGCTGGGCACTAACCTGAGCTGTGGGATGACAATGTTTTCTGACAGCTTTTCCAAGGATGGCACCACACTGGGGTTTGGGATGCAGATCATCGTCCCACCCCTATCCCCAGCCCAGCACTTGCCCTAGGTCCTACAGGACCTAGAATGTGAGGGCTTTGTGCCTTCTCGGCTCATCCACAGCATCCTTTCTGCCCCTTGCAGATGTTGCCCTTGATCGGTGCAGGCTGGCTGGGGCAGGGAGCGGCTGTTTGCTTTGGCTCCCTCCCTGTTTGGATTTCTCCCCCGTGACTAATCCCTCTCCTGGCCCCTCCGCCCAGCTGGCTAACAGCAGTGTGCCTTTTCTCCCCGCCTTGATGTCTTTCAGGTTGTCGGCCCTTCCTGAAAATCTACCAGGCCATGCAGCCCGTCTACACCTCGGGGATCTAGTAACTATCTCCTTGCTTTGGGGCTTTCCTGCTGCCCAGCATGGAGGGCGTGGCAAGCTGGGGAGGATGGAGAGGGTCAAGGACAAGTCCCCTGTGATCTTGTGCTCTGTGCTTAGTCCATTTGGGGGCTACAAAAAAAAAAAAAAAAAAGAAAAAAAAAAAAAAGAGGCTTTCTTTTTTTCGGAGGTGGTAGCTGGCTATGCTGGGCTGTACTGGACCCTTCTGCTGAGAGGGATGTAGTGGCTCCGCACATCAGCAGAGGGAGCCTGGGGCTGTGTGGAGCCTGGGGCTGGGTGTCCCCGGAGGGAGTGGGGAAAGGGATGAGGACATCTGGGAGATGAAGGCGTTTCTTCTCTCCCTCATAAAAGAACTGTTCTTCCTGCCTGGATTAGTGCTCACAGATTCAGAGTATTCTTAGTTGGGAGGGACCCACAAGGATCATTGAGTCCAGCTCTTAAGTAAGTGGCCCATACAGGGATTGAACCCACAATCTTGGTGTAATTAGCACCATGCTCTGACCAGCTGATCTAATATCCTTTATTTCTCCAAAAAAAAAAAGATTTTCCCCCTGTTTTAATCTCCCCGCAATTTTTTTCTGATGCTGATTCTGGGAGCAGGCACTGGCAAAAGGAAAGGAGGAGTTGATTTCTCCAGCCTCCCAGACACTCTGCCAGTGCCACATTCCAGTCTGGGTGGGACCCCTGGCTCCTGGTCTCCCTGGAGGGACCAGAGCACCTCACCTCTGGGATATTCCCATCTGAACCCCCCAGGAGCAGGATCTCACTTCCAAACAGCCATGGGTCCCCGTTAGCTGAGATTTACTGCCATCCTGGCCTTGCCTTTCAGCTTTTAATAGACTGTTTATGGGATGCCTGTAATAAACTCCAGGTTTATCTTGCCTGTGAAATCCAACTCCTTTCTTCCCTTGTCTGTGGCTGCTGACGCCACCGGCCGTCGGCAGCCTGTCGGCAGTGTACTGGGAGGGGAGGGCTTCCTGCAGGGAAACTGAGGCAGGGGGAAAAGTCTTCCCAGAGATTTCTCCTTCTGTGTGCAAAGCCCCGGTTGAGCTGTGGGAGCCGGGTGGATGGTTGATAGCCCAGCCTCAGCACTTGGAACCTGGGCAAATCCACCTAGCAGTTTTCATACCTGTGCTGAGTTGTACCTCAGTTTCCCTTTCCCATCCTCCTTTCACTGGGAATGGGTGTCCCTTGAGGTGGTGGATGGGACCCCCTTCTGTCACAGGGAGGGCAAGCTCTGTGCTTTGCACCTTTTCTGCATGGATTTGGATGGAAGGGCTGGTTGAGGTGGTGCTAGGAGTTTTCTGGGCAGGGGTCTCTGCACCACAGCTCACATCCTCCCCCTGTTCCTCTCTGCAGCAATGTGCAAGGAGACAGCCAGACGGGCATCTGCATCACCATTGAGCCTGGCTTGCTGCTCAAGGGCGATATCTTGGTAAGGATCGTCAGCTCAGCTCCCAGCGTAGAAAGCAGACAGGGGTTGTGTGGTTGCCTTGACTCGGGACCCCAAGATTCCCCCTTGACCAGGTCTGGGGGCTTTTCATGATGGCCCATCCCCATTCCTCTCTGCAGCTGAAGTGCTACCACAAGAAGTTTCGCAGCCCTACCCGTGACGTGATTTTCCGTGTGCAGTTCCACACGTGTGCTGTGCATGATCTTGATGTCGTCTTTGGCAAGGAGGACCTGGATGAGGCCTTCAGAGGTAACTGCCCTGGCACTTCCCTGCTCCAAACTCCCTCATCCTCCTGCCCCTGTAACTCTGGTGTCATCATGGGGACATCTGGGCACCCATCCCAGATCCACCCCCGCCAAAACAGGGCACCCCTGCTCCATCTGCAGGGTGTGGTGCTGCTTGGGAAGTGGTGGCACCATCGTCCCTTTCATTGCCAAAACCATTACTGGTGTGGGGGGGCTGCCTGGGGGTTGTTTTGGGGACTAAGATGCATTGTCCCATGCAGGGATGTCCCCTAGCAGCTCCCAGCCTTAGGCTGGTCTGTAGGCATGTTTGGGGTGACTGGCTATTACTGGAGATATGGGTGGAGATAGTCCCTTTATTCTGCTCTTTCCTTGCCAGATGACCGCTTCCCTGAGTATGGGAAGGTAGAGTTTGTGTTCTCCTATGGCCCTGAGAAGATCCAAGGTATGTCTGGCTCAGTGCCATGGGGGTTTGGAGGTGAATGCTGTCTCCTTTCCTTCTCCTCAGCTGTATGCCCTGCTCCCTCCCTTGGGATCTCCACCAGCCCCAATTATCACCAGGCTAGGGTGAGGCTTCCAGGCAGTAAAGCTGATCTAGGAGCACCTATGGATGCCCTGTCTCTCTTGCTCTCTTCCCCGGGAGGCTGCTCTCCAAAGCCCTTGATGGCTCAGGAGAGATGGAAGGAATGTTTGGGAATGAAGGGCTCCCTTGCTCAGAAAGTCCAGACCCATGCACACTCACTGCCAGTCTGTATGCTGGTCTCTAGGCAATCCCAAAAGCCCCAGGCAGTCTTGTACACCTTGTTTGTGAGTCTTGATGTACATCCTGTGCTTATCCATCCCTTGATGCTGCCTTTCCTCCAGGAGTCTCCTGCTTTGCCCTATGGCTCCTGCACTTTTTTCCTTGCGTGCACTTTTCCCCACCTGTTCTCCCATCCCACCCTTGCTGGTTCCACTGTCACCCTACCTGACCATCCTGCCTTTTTCCAGGCATGGAGCACCTGGAGAATGGGCCCAGTGTTTCTGTGGACTACAACACGTCCGACCCACTCATCCGGTGGGACTCCTATGAGAACTTCAACATCCAGCGTGAGGACAGTGCAGAGGGGGCCTGGGCTGAGCCATCCCTGCCCAGCAAGCACCTGGAGAAAGGTTAGGGCTCACAAGGTGGTCAGTGGCCAAAGTGTCCACATGGAAATACCCCCTACCCCACGATGGGGGACACTGATGGGCAGCAGAGCTGGGGACAGGTGGCTGCTGATGGGAGCAGTGTGACCATGGGATGGGAGAGCAAGATCTCATGGACTTTGCCTTCTGCCACAGTGCCAGGGAGCTTAGGCTGTTTTGTTTTCAACACTTTACTGTCAATGTCCTGTTCTCACAAGCACAGTCCTAGTTTATGCCCCAGACCTTTAAGAAATCCAAACCCCATGTCTGCAGGACCATTAGGTGTCCCAGCTACTTTGTCATGCTGCAAGCATGGCAGGATGTAGATGTGCATTAGTTGTCCCTAGGGGATGAGGATGTCTTACAGGCCTTTGAGGGTCTGCTGCATCTCTCAGAGCTGGGAAAAGCCCTTTGAGCACCCATTTTGTTGCAGCAAGTTGGCTGCTGTTACCCACTTGGCAGGAGCAGGCAGTACTTGTATGTCGAAGGGTGGTGGGCCCCTGTCCTGGAGGCAAGGCCACCCGTGGCCAAGCAGATGCCTGGGCTTTCCTGGCCAGATCTGGAGAGGCGTCCCTGGAGCAGGGACAGCTGCGGTCCTTGATGTCCCTGAAGGTCACCAGTTGCTTTGAGTGGGAGCTGTGGATGGCAGTGCTCACGGTGGAGGGTGGGGGCTCTGGGTGCCTGGGGCAAGCGAGAGTGTCTGTGCTATGATGGTCACATGGAACTGGACCTGGGGCAGCTGTGTGGAGCTGGCACGGGCACTTGCCTGGCACAGGGCAGTAAACAGGCAACTCGTGATGTGCAGGCTCAGCTGTGGGCTGGGTGCAGGCTGGGGAGCTGTGGGTCCAGCCCCAAGCTGGCAAGCCTGCCTGGCAGTCCCCTCCTGCCTGCAGAGACCTGAGTGCCTCATTGCATGTGTTCCCCTCTGGATCCTGGGCCAAAGTGTCTGCACCCCAGCCCCTCACAGGGCTGCAGGGGTACCTCAGGACTCATCTCTGTACTCTCATGGGGGTCTTGGTCAATATTTGGGCTGCAGAAGTACCCCAGGGCTCCTCTCCATTCCCCCTTGGGGGTCTTAGCAGGTGTCAGGGCTGTGGAGATGCCACCATGCACCAACAGGGCGGTCCTCTGTGCCGGGAAGGGTGGCAATAGGGAATGAGGGCACCTTGAATTTATAAACACTGCCTCAGTTTGGAGATGAGCCGGGACTGTGGAAGGGTGAGGCTGCAGGCAGAAGGCTGCCCTCTGACCCGTGCCAGCACAAGCAGCTGCAAGAAGCCTATCTATAAGGGGTCTTTCCCAGCTGTCCCATGGGGCACTTTGGTGGTGGTGGTGGGAGTCAGCGTGGACTTGAGGGGCTCCCATCTTTTTCCCTCTGTATTGTCACTTTTCCTCTTCTCCAGCCTGTCCCAAGCCAGGATGGGGACTCTGGTGTCTGGCTGTGCAGGGGGGGTCCCTGTTTATGGTCGTTCTTGCCTTATTTGGTCAGGGAATTGCACGCCACATTTTTGGCACCACCAGGCGTGAGCAAGCGGCGTCCGGGGCGGAGGGGGGGTGAGGTTGGCACCAGGACCCACGCTGGGCTGGGATCAGCCGCTGCTCCTTGTCCCTGCCACTGCCCGTCCTGCCACTCGGCGAAGGCTCCCCACAGACGGTCGCTGCAGCCTGGGCCAGCGGGATCGGGATCGCCTGCCAAACGGTGGGTTCCCCCACACCGCGTCTCTGCTGGACACAGCCGCTCTCGGTAGAGGTGGATGCCTTTTGTCCAGCAGCTTGGTCTCAGCATGGAGCACCCATAAGGGCTGGGGAGTGCCTGCCAGGGTGGGATGGTCCTGTGGGACCCCAAAGCTGGAGGGGCAGGCGGGTGGCTGGGGATGGTGCCTGTCCTGGCATTCCCCTCATCTCTGCTGTGCTTATCTGTGAGGACTTGGAGAAGGGGAAGCTCATTTGCAGTGGGGTCATTGGTTGACTAAACTCTTCCAGAGCAGGGGGCATGAGAGGGGGATCTGTACCCCCACATCTTGCTCTCTGGCTGAGGGGACACAGCTGGATTCAACAAGCTCTCTGTGAGCCACTTCCATGGGACAGGCTGGCCTCATCAGCAGACTTGGCTTCCTGCTTTACTCAGGCAGGGTCTCTGCTGCCCACGATGTTTGGGCTGTCCTGTGGTCTTTTTGGAGAGTGGGGTATGCTGGAATACCCCCACAGCCTGTTCTTCTGCCCCTCAGCCATGTCTGCACAGCCTGGGGAAGGTGTGTGGCTCTGCCTGCCATTCTCCTTGAAGGGGCTTTGGGCTCAGTGGTGGCTGCTTGGCAGGTTCCTGCTGCAGTTCCCATGGCCATTGGGTGGCTGGGGGTGCTTGAAGGCTGAAGGGAGGTGACAGCACACTTCATCTTCTGGCTGTTTTTGTGGTTGCCAGCACTGTGGTAGCTCTCCTTGGGGTGCCAAGCTGGCTCCAGAGAGGCAGGAGGAGGCTGGCAGCTGGATGTGGCATTGCTGGGTTTACAGCTGGTTGGAGGATCACTGAAGAGGAGTTTTGGGGTACTGCAGATGATGTAACTCAGATTGGAGTTCATATATGGCCTGCTTTGGTTTTGCTGAGAAAACCAGTGCTGGTGGAGAACAGGGTGCTGGAGTTGGCATAGAGTGAGTGGATGGGTTGCCCTCAAGGTCTGGATCTGTGACTGTTGTGGGAGGACCCCGAGCTCTGCCGTCCTGGGGTGGTGTGAGAAGATGTGAAAGGGCCGGGCATGTGTCCCCAGCCCAACAGCTCCCTGTAACCACTGGTCCTTGGACCCACCCTGGGTCTTGCCTGCTGTGTCTTATTACCAGGCAGGGAAGAGAGTGGCCAGGCCCTGGCCAAATCCAACATCTGCAAGAGAGTTGCTAAATTCCCACCTGAGTCATGGTTCTGGCATAGGGCTTCCCTGCAGCTCATCCCTGTCTTCCCACACATCCCCACTCATAGGGCAGGGACTGGGATGAGCATCCCACCCTTTTAGTGAGGGGAGGTCACATCACAGCCTGAACCACATGTAGCAAAGGTCAGGGGATCCTGGAGTCCCACAAATGGAGCTGGATACTCGTCCTCCACTTTTCCATGGAGGGCAAAGCCCCTTGATAGGGTCACTGTCATCTGTTTGTCCCACAGGAGGGTTGGCATCTCATGGGGTACACCTTTCTTAGTGGGGTCAAATCTTGTCCTACTTATCAGGAGGGGCTGACGCCCAGGAGGGCAGGCCAGGCTGTGCAGAGGTGGAGAGCCAATGGGCCAGGCCAGAGCTGTTAAAACCATTGCTGGAGCTGCTGGCTGGCTGCTGCTCTCCCCCTGCAGCTGGATCGGTCCCTAGGCCAGGCTCAGTGGGGAGGGGGGGGCACTGGCTTTCCTCTTGCCTTCACCAGCTGACTAAAGCTGAAGGAATCTACTTCCCCTTCCTTATTCTGCCTCTCTCTGCTGCTCTGCTCCATCTTCTGCAAGGTAAGGGTGTATTGAGGTGGGCATTTTGGAGGGCAGTGGGGATCTGTGTGGGCTGGATGAGAGTTCACAGGGAGTGTCCCCCTTGCTTCTGGTTATTCCCCATGGATGAAATGCTGGAGCATCTACAGGCTTGGCTAGACATTTCAGCTGGAGTGTGGCTATTCCCAGGGCAGGATCTGTCCTCTGACCTGGTATTTGGGGTTGTCATGTGGGGTGGTGGGGTGGTTTGTTTCCACTGGGACTGGGAACCAGGCAGGGCTGGGATGCAGGGAAAGAGAGACCAGCTGGTGGAAACTCCGGCCCTTCTCTTCCCCCTTTAAACTATCCTTGAAGTCCAAACCTGGAGCAGTTCTGTGCTTAGGGCCGGGGTTGTCCCATGGCATGAGTGGGGATCTCTGTCTGCCCTCCTGTAGCTGACACAGCTGGGACAAAAAATAAGCAAACTTTGGAGGTTTTGGAAGGATGCTGGCTTGGCATGTGCTATTATCTGGGAGCAAACAGGGCTGTGAGTCAGGGGGCTGCCTGGAAACACTGCTCTCATCCCCTGCCGTCATCCATGGCGGTGTGGATTAGAGTGGAGGGAGCCTCACGTTTTGCTGAGTATAGTGGATCAATTGAGTGGAGTCCTGAGCATGGGTTCAATTGAGTGGAGTCCTGAGCATGGGTTCAGGCTGGGGTCTGGATGTGGGGTGGGCTTGCTGTCACCTGGACCAGCAAGTTGTCAGCACCATCCCAGCATGGATTTTGCTTGGGGTGGAGCAGTGTGGTCTCAGACAACTCTGGAATGGATGGGATCGTGCCATACCTCCTGTCACAGAGCAGGCACTGTGTACATCTGGAAAACAGGGCTGGCTTGTCTATACTGTGCCCATGGTGCTGGCAGGGCAGGCAAGGGGATTGTGAAAATGGGTCGGCAGGGTCCGTGACTTGTCCATGGCTGGTTTCCACCCCTCTTTAACTGTGTAGTTATTTCAGATGGAGAAACTCGAGTCTCCAGCAAGACATTTGAATTTGCAGACCCGTCTGGGTTTCAGCATCGTGTGTGGTTTGGAAGGACATTCCCACCCTGAATGTGTCTCTGCTCTTCGGGGACAGGTGTGACACATGCACACGGGAGCTGGGCAGGGCTGGGTGTCTCAAATGAGGGGGTCACGCAGCGGGGCGATGCTCAGTGCAAGGTGGGCAGGCTGTCCAGCTGTCCGGCTCTGTGTCCTGCCTAGGAAACAGTTAACGCGGCGGAGCCCTGCCTGTGGAGGAAGTAGTTAATATTCATAGCTGGAAGCTGTCTGTCTGGCTGTCCTCCCTCCATGGCTCCCACCCTCCCCGCACCTCACTGAGGTTAACTCGGGCTGGGGCTGGAGCTTGGGCGGCCCCGCCGCTCTCCCCGCGCCGCTCCCCTTCCCCTCCCGCTCCTGCCTGTGGTCCCTGTGTGGTCTGGGGCGGAGGGGAGCACAGCCGCACCTCCTCGTCTCCATCCCATCTCCGGCCTCTCCCACCTTCGGCTCCTCCATCCTCCCCTCCGCTCCCCGTGTCCGGGGGTCCCCCGTATCCCAGCGCCCCCGCCGCCGTCCGGGTTCCCCTCTGGCGGCCCCGCGGGACACGGCGCTGGGAAGGGAATAGCTCCCTCCGCGAGAGGGAAAGCAAAGCCAAAGGGACAAACGCCAACCCAAGCCAGCTCCAGGCCGTCGGCTCCTGTCCTGGAAGGACACACGGGGCTGGTTGTGGACGCCGTTGGAGCTGCCACCACACCAGGTGCCCCTGGAAGGCTATCGTGCTGGAAGGGGTGAAGGAAAAGTATTTTACTGCCTGCTCCTTCCCTTTGCCTGGGATCTTTAAATCCCCGTCCTTTTCGGTAAGTTCTGACTTTACTTTTCTTTGATCGGGGGGGCTGGGTGGTGAATTTGTGCTTGTGGTGACCCACGGCTCAGGGGCTGGGGTTGCTCCGTGCCATCATATCTGGTTACAGGATGAAACCAGAGATAAGGAGGCTAAACTCTTCCCTGTGAGATTAAGCTCACACCCTACATCCTGCAAAGGGTCCCGCGACTCCAGGGTTTTCCCTGCAGGCTGATGCTCCAGAAATGCATTGGGACCAGGGCTGTGGGTGGGGAGCAAAGGCAGCAAGTGGGATGCTGCTGGGGGCATGACAGAGGAGACCAGTGATGCCTCAGCCTTATCTCCTGCCCCGGTGCAGAGCCATGGACAGGATTTGTGCTGGTGCACGATGCTGTGTGCTGCACCCCACTGCGTCCGGGGCAGATGCCTGGGATTTTGGGGATGACAGCTCACCCCCTCGGAGTTGTCACACTTGTCCAGGACCAGTTTTTTTACTGGGTGTCGCCACAGGGTGCTGGAGAAGGAGAGGACGGAGCATTTCTCCGCTAGGACAGTGAGCTTTGAAAGCCAGGCTCAGCGCTTCCCGCAGCTGCCTCCATACAGCTGGAGCAGATAGAGCCAGAGCAGAGCTGTGTCTGGGGCTGAGCCCAGGGCAAACCCAGCCCACAATGCGATGGCACAGTCTGCCAGGCAGGAGCTACTCCGACCTTCAGGGATGAAGTCTGACCTTGCTGGGAGCTGCAGACACTTTGTAAATGGGGTCTTGAGAGCCTGCTGCTTTGAGGGTTGATGGTTTGGCTAAGACGTTCTGTCCCATTATCCCTTAGTTTTGATTTTATTTTGTTTTGTTTTTTATTTAACTTCTCAGGTGACAAACTATAGATGATGAGAGATGAGCTATAGATATGAAAGATTGTGTGGCTCAGAGATAGTGGAGGAGGCTTCAGAGTGGCACTGAATAGCAGGATTTGTCTCATGGCATCAGAGCCCAGGAGGTACATGGGGTTGAGGACAGGATGAACAATCAGGTGTGGGGCAGAGCAACTGTAGGACAAGGGCTTGGCTGATGGCTGAGCTGTCACAGGCTGTTCCTTGCTTACTACCCTGGTACTGCTCTTGGGGGGGTGGCCACCAGCCCCACTATGTCCCCTCCTCACCAGAGGTTCTGGGGAAGGTGGGATGTAGCAGCTAGGGCTTTCTGTCTCTGCCATGAACTGCATTGTGCCCCATCCTGACCTCTCTTGGAGACATTTCTCCCAGCCTGGGGCAATACCCAGACCAAAGAGTAATTAAAGTATTTTCTATTTTCTCCTTGGCACCATGTGCTTACATTTATATTTATTTATTCCCTTTTCCTTTCTATTCCCCTGCTGTTGTTCTCCCAGCCACCATCCTGGCTTTTGCCCTTTTTTTTGATACCAGCCAGCACCCATTTTTGCCTTCAGACAGGAGGGCTGTGCCTTTTCCCCTGTCTCCAAGCAGTGTCTCAGCCTGTCCAGCATTGACACTGCCCCTGGATATGCTGCTTTTTTATTTTTCCCTCCATGGAAAGGGTTTCCCTCCCTCTCTTTCCCTTTTCCCCAGTATGGGACGTGTTCTGGAGACAAATGCTACTGGCTCCTGGCTTTACTGTCTGGATGAAGAAGCTCTGAGTCTCTGGGAGAAATTCTCACCCTTTCCCTTACCAAGTGCCCAGAGGGAACCTTGCTGCACAGTCCTGAGACATTTTCAAGCCAACGGGAGGCTTTGGTGCTCCACTCCCTCCTTGGGATACTGCCAGTGGGGATTCAGGAGTGGAAAATCAGCAGCAAGGAGAGGGCCCTGACTTTTTTGGGCCTGGGCTCAGTGTTATTGCTGTCCTGTGCTTTGTGGTGAGGGGGGTTGTTGGTGTGGGAGCTGCCGGGGTGCGGCGGCGTGGGGCTGGTTAAGCTGTCCCCGCTCGGAAGTGTTTTGCTTGCAGATAGGACCGCTCTGATTTCACACTATCGTGCTAGGGCTGTCTTCCGTCCCTGAGTCAGCCGCCTGGCCCCCCGCCAGGGAAGAGTCATTTTTTCCTCCAAAAGAAAGTATTTAACACTGCTCGCAGGACCTTCCAGGAAACCTCGTCAGGGAGCTGGAAAAACAAGAGTCTGCAGCCTGGTCCGTGCTGTGCTGCTCTGGCAGCGGGGGGGTGCAGCTTGGGAGCTATTCCCATTGCTGTCAATGGCCAAGGGCCCTCTGTAACCCCAAAATCTGTCTGCCCCACTTGGAAAGGTTCAAAGGGTGCAGCTGGTTGTGGTGTTGGTGCTGATGGGTGTGATGGAAGCTGAGGGGCTCAGAACTGGAGTGCAGGATTACTGGTGGTGATGCTGCCATGCCCTGGCTGCTCCCCAGCCTTTTGGGGCTGTGGAGCAGAGCCAGCTGCCCACACTGGACTTGAATCATGGTGCCAGGACCTTCCTGGGGAGGAGATGCTGCATGTTCAGGGTTGTGCAGTGGCACTGTCAGTACAGAAGCTCTGGGGTAGGTTGACCTGCCCTGAGAGAGGGAAGGGGAAGAACAGAAATGGTGGGAGCCTGTCTGTAGCCAGGGAAGAAAAAGTCAAGGATGTCTGTCTGGCTGGATCCATGCATCATCTCAGAGGAGAGTGGGCAGGGAGAGGGAAGGTGGGTCTGTGGCTCATCTGTCCTTCACCCGTGGGCTGAGTACATCCATCCAGCTGGAGACACAAAGAGCTACGAGGCCACATACTGATTGCCTCCACCCGTCCTCCTACGGTTTGTGGTGCATCTCCTCCACCCTCCCTGTTTGCCTTCCTGATGCCACATGGCCCTTTGGGGCTGGATGAGCCCTGCGGAGCAGCTATCGCTGACTGTGGGTAGCCCCGGCCCTTGCCAACCATGGCGGAGAATCGCCAGGAATGATCCCTGGAAATAGTGCACGGGATATTTGGTGGATCCCAGTGGAGGAGGCAGTGCTTGTGTGCGAATCGGGGGGCTGTGGGGGCATGGGGTTGGGGAGGACCTGGCTCCGATGTCTCTGCATGGTGGCGCCGGTGGGAGTGTGGAGGGTGCCGAGGAGACGATGCTGGTCGTTAAGTGTTCTGGCACACAGAAGAAATCGAAATCACCGGCTAATGGGACCCATTAGCTCCGTGCAGAGAGCCAGCAATTGATCTGGGGTCTCGTGTTCGTTTCTCCCCTTGCAGAGGTTGGGCACACACAAGGGCCCCTGGATGGGAGCCTCTACGCTAAAGTGAAGAAGAAAGACTCCCTCCACGGCAGCACCGGTGCCGTCAACGCTGCCCGACTCCCGCTCTCGGCAGCACCCAACCACGTCGAGCACACACTTTCAGTGAGCAGCGACTCGGGCAACTCCACCGCCTCCACCAAGACCGACCGGACCGATGAGCCGGGGGTGACCGCAGCACCCAGCGGCCAGGCGGTGCTGAGCCCCGAGGAGAAGCAGGAGCTGGATCGTCTCCTCGTTGGCTTTGGCTTGGAGAGTGCGCCGCCCATGCACAACCACGTGCCCGGCCCTGTGCCGGCACGCCTGCCCGCCATGCCGGGCCGCCACGTGGTGCCGGCTCAGGTGCATGTCAATGGCAATGCTGCGGCACTGGTGGCCGAGCGGGAGACGGATATCTTGGATGATGAGCTGCCCAACCAGGATGGGCACAGTGTGGGCAGCCTGGGCACGCTCTCCTCCTTGGATGGCACCACCACTGCCAGTGAGACCGGCTACCAGGAGGCACCCCGGGTGGGCAGCCTGTCCTCCCTGCCCAATGGCCCCTCGAGCTGCAATGGGGCTGAGAAGCTGCTGAAGGAGGGGCTGTACGATGGCGAGCTGCTCTCCAATGGTGGCTACCCCTACAACAACCAGAACACCCTGATGGGCCACCACCTCCGTGACACGCTGCCTTCCTTGCGGCCTTCGGCATCCGCTCAGGAGCACCTGGCAGGCTACCCGCAGCGCCTGCCGGGCTCCCATGCCCCAGGGTGGCTCCAGCCTCAGCAACTGCCCGGCTCCCAGCCCTACCTGTATGCCTACGACCACCCCGGAACCTACCGCTCCCGGTCCTTCCCGGCAGTGGACACTGCCAAGTACGACGTGAACCCGGCGCTGCCCCAGGCCCCGGCTCGCAGTACCAGCAGCCGGGAGGCTGTGCAGAGGGGCTTGAATTCCTGGCAGCAGCAAGGAGGAAGCCGGCCACCTTCCCGGCTGCAGGAGGGTGGCATGGAGAGCCACAGCCCCAGCATCTCAAGCTGCAGCCCCCAGCCCAGCCCGCTGCAGACGGTGCCCCCCCACAGCCACAGCATGCCTGAATTCCCCCGGGTGCCCTCTCGCCGGGAGATTGAGCAGTCCATCGAAGCGCTGGATGTCCTCATGCTGGACCTCGCACCTGCCGTCCACAAGTCACAGAGTGTGCCTGCCACCTCCCGTCAGGACAAGCCAGCCGGACCCCTGCCCTCCTCCCTTTCGACCCAGCCCATTGCTGGTCTCTACGCCCGGCCAACTCCGCAGGTGGCCCAGCCGAGGTCCTTCGGCACGTCCGTGAGCCCCGTGGTCTCTGAGCCCGGGGGCAAAGCCTATTCTCCTGGAGAGCTGGACTATGGGGTGCATGATTATCGGGAAACCTATTCACCCTACAGTTACCAGCTGGCACCGCTGCCAGAGCCCAGGAGCTACAGCCGTGCCCCGGCCGGAGCACAGATGGGCACTGGCCCACTTGGCATCTCATGCTACAGCCCTGTGGGGTCTCAGCAGCAACTCACCTCCTCCCCACCTTCCCCCACCGTCCCAACACAAAACCAGATGCCCCTGAAGGGACCGGAGAGCTATGAAGACCTGTCGAGGTCAGCAGAAGAGCCCTTGAATCTGGAGGGCCTGGTGGCCCACAGGGTGGCAGGTAGGATCCTTTGATTCCTTGGGGGGATGGGGAGGATCGCATGTCCCAAGGTGCTGGAGCACACGGGGGTGGCATGCATGGTAAAGCTGGGGATAACTGATGCGGAGACTCCTTGTCCGTGCTGGATCTGGGCTTGGGACTGAGCCACCTGCCATGGAGACATACAGGCCAGGGGAACAGCCTTTGCTGCTTTTTTGCTGAGATCCTCCTTTGCAGCTTGCTGTCTGCTGAAGCATTGCCCAGAGGTGGGAAGGGGTGGCTGAGGGTGTTAAGGTAACAGAGCTGGTCCATCCCTGGTGGCGGGGCCAGTTGCTGGATCTTTCTTCTGGGGAGAATATGGAGAGTTTGGGAAAACGTTTTCATCTCTGGCTGAGGTTGTCCTGCCTGGACCCCACTTGGACATGGTGTTCTCCCTGCCTGGAGTGTGATCTGGTGTAGGATGCCAACAGAGAACTTGCCTTGTGTTTGATGTAGCTGTGCTCATCCCTGATTTCAGTTTCTGCTGTCCCCCCTGGATTGCTGGGTTCAGTGCTCAGACTTCCTCCTTTGGGAGCTGGGGTGCTGCTGAAGTGGGGACTAGGCTGTTGTCTGTCAGCTGTAATTCTGCCCAGCTTGGCCCAGGGTGGTTTGAATCTGGACCTAGCCACGGGGCAGTGGTCAGGGGCTGGGAAGACATTTCCCAGCCCTGCCAGAGGGGTTTGGTGCTTGGCTGGGTGCACTGCTGAGTGTTGGTACTGTGGTGGGATGAAGGCATTAGCTCTGTGCTGTGGAGGGGAAGCTGCATCCAGCAATCCCCTGCCCTCCTGCAGCTCTAGTTTTAGGGCTTTGGGGACACAAGAGTGTCCCAGCCGCCCGGAAAGAAGGTGCCAGGGTGCTGTGGCAGCTTGGTGCCCTCCCTCCCCACTGCTTCGGCTGCAGTTGTTCAATTGTGGAGTGACATTTGGGAAAGGTTTGGGGCTCTGGGCCAGCTCGTGATGCTGGGGCTTGGCAGCTCCGTCCCTTCCAACTCTGTGCTCAGTCCAGAAGCTCGCCCGGCATTAGAGGGAGGGGGAAAAGGCTTGGCTGGAAAAATACAACAGCATCAGCCTCCCAGGAGTGGGGACTGAGTCACAGGGTGGGGGGCAGGAGGGGTGCCAGTGGCAGGAATGGGATTGGGGAGGGTGATAGAGTTGTTGGAGGAAGTTCGCATCTGTCTGAACCTGACCTCTGTGATCCAGATCAGATTCACAAAGGGTCATGGGGCTTTTGCAAAGAATTTAAACAAACCTAAGGACACATGGATGCCTAAACCCCGCTGTATGTCTGGATTTCATGCTATAAGCAGCACCTGCCTGCCCTCCCTTGCTGCCCCATATGAAGAGGCATTAAAATGGGCTGGAAAAGTGGGCATTTCTAAAGAGAGGAGGAAGAGTACTAGCAGTGTGTGGAGAATGGATTTCTGATGGTGTCTACCTGAAAAATCCATCCCCCAACCCTTGAGTCTGGTCCTCAGGGCTGGGCTGGGGTCACTGTCATCCCCTTGTAGCCACTGGGTTTCCCAGGGAGGAGAGAGGCATCTGGGGGATGGTCCCCAGCCTGTAGCCACCTGTCTCCACTGGAGCTGGGCCTTCTGTGCTGAGGTGGGGACAGCGCAGGCGGGTGCCCTGACCTCTGGTGGGAACGAGGTGTCCTGAAGCCAGCGATGGGAGGGGACAGCCAGCGGGAACTGTGGGGCATGGACATGTTTGTTTACATTCCCTGCTGCTATAAATTGCCTGCATGTCCTGGTGCAGAGATGAGGAGCATCTCACACCTCCTCCGTTCTTGGTGGGGGAATGCTCCCATTCCTTCTTCCTGCTGAAGATGGAGGGGAAGAGATGGTACAGGGCAGTGCTGGCATGCCCAACAAATCCCCACAGAGGGGAGGTGGTCCTGTCATCCTTTAAGTCCCTCTCATGTCCTAGCAAGGCATCTGGGGTCACCCCTTCTTGTCCCAGCCCTGAGAATTCTGTGGTGAAGGGGACCTGCATGGTGCCATGCCTGAGGTAATGGTGATGGGACAGCTGTGGTGTTGCACACAGATATATATGACTAGGCCACCATTGATTTCCCATACGGGTTTATGTGGTGCCTGGAGCCAGGCAAGTTGGCTGATGGAAAAGCAGCTCCAAGCAGAGACCAAGCTCCTTCAGACCCCAAATGACCCCAGACTCATCTATTGGACCCCAGCTAATATTTTCTCTTTTTTTTTTTCTCTCTCTCTCTCTCTCTCTCCCCCCTGTTGTATCTTGTGACATTTGTCCTGTCTGCCCCTTGCTCTCTCTGTGGGGGACTGTGTCTGTCCTCTGTGACCTCCCACCCTCCTTGCACTCCCTGTCCTGGTATGCTGGCAGAGTACAACGCCAAGCTCAGGGAACTCAACAAGAGCACCAAAGTCCCCCGTCCTCCTCTGAACCAGCAACGGTCCTTCTCTGGTTCGTTCATTCCACCTCCTTCCTTTCCTCTCCTTCCTTGTTCTCCAGCCTTCCCCATCCATCCTTCCTTCTCTTGCTTTCTTCCCTCTCATCCTTCCTTCCTTTTCCCATCTTCTCTCTCTCCTTCCCCTTCACTCCTCCTTCCCTCTCATCCTTCCTTCCTCCTCTATGCATGCTGAGTGATCTGTGTGTTGCATGGATGTGGGATGGAGGGAGGCTCAGGAGACCATCTCCAGGCAGGATTGATCCCTTTTCTCAGCAGAGTGATGGTCAGGGCTCCCATTGAACTCCTCCAGTGATGGGGGAGCCCCTGGCCCCGGGTACAGACTCCCCTACCCACGCTTGGTTTTGCATCTGGCACTGCCTGCTGGTGGGGTTTTCATTGCTGGGACAGTTCTGGACCCTTGCTGCATCCCTTCAAAGCTTTGTCCTGACCGTGCCTCACCCTCTTGGGAAGCAGGGGCTGGGCTGCAGTTCCACAGAATCCAAGTTTAGCCAGTTGTCAGCCCAGGAGGGTCTCTCCTACAAGAGAGTTTAGGGATCCCCATGTCTTGGTCTGCAGCTGGGGGGTGTGGACTGCTGAGGCTGGATTTTATGCAGCATGCCTTTTTCTCCTTGAAAGTGAGCCTGCCCTGAGTGATGCATGCTTGGTGTGCACCCACTTGTCCAGGGCAAGGAGAAGGTGGGAGATAGAGTGGGGCTGGGGAGTCACCATCTTTCTGTGTGACCTTTCTCTTCCCACTGGCACCTTGGGTTTCTCCCCAGGAGAACCAAAGAGGTTTAAACCCTCCTAGTCCTAAGCACAGAGTATTTTATCGTACCCATTTGGGGCAATCAGGTGGGATGTGGAGAGTGGTCTGTGTCAGGATGGCGTGAATTGGGCTCTGGTGAGGAGCAGCACAGGACAATGTCTGTTTCTCATGAAGGCAGGGAGAGTTTGCATCTCTCTTCCCTGGGTGTTGTGTCCCCGTCTGGCTTTAACTGCCGAGCACACATCCTGAGGGCCTTGGGATGCTTCTTTGTTCTCTCCTGTCCACTGTGGGGATATCACCTGGCTCTTGCCTAGTTCTAGCATCTCGTGGCCTAAAAGCAGCTGCCTCCTGATTTGACCTAAAACCTGGCTCCCCAGCTGCAAAATTACCTGGGTTTGCCATCGTTCCTGTTTCCTCCTTCCTCAGCTGTTGTGCTTCCTGCCCTTCCCCAGCCCTAGAGCTGTGCTCATTCTGAGGGCAATGGGTTTGTAGTAGGTTAGGCACTTAAATGAGCAGCGGGAGGTTGGGTGAGAGGGTGAGGAGTGGGGTGCAGGCTGCTGCTCCCCCTTTGTGGACAGGAATTTGCCATCCTGCAGCCAGTCACGGCATCCTTGTGAATCCAGTGACAGTACCATGGCTAAGGGAGGCTATATGTCTGCTGAGGGGGCAAGGCAAGCTGGGGAAAGGAGAGTTTGTTTTTCAAGCATAGTTTCCATCCCATAAATCACCCAGGGGGTCGGGAGAGCCATGCTCAGAGCCTGGGTTTCCTCCAGGCTTTGCTCCGGGCGGCCTGTGAAGTTTCCCACTCTCCGCTCCTGAACAATGAGTCCCTTTTTTCCCTTCTCTTCCCTCCCCTCCCTGTGGCCCCGGCCGCTTTCCATGTCTGGGGAGTGGAGCAGCCAGAGCTTGCTGAGCTCCTGGGTGTCCCAGTAGGCCAGATCCAGCACCCTGTGGTTAGGTGACGTGAAGCCCTGGGGACGGAGCAGGGGGTCCCACGCTGCAGATGTGTGATGTGCACTGATTGTCAGGCTCCATCCATCTGCCGTATTTAGTGCTTCCCAAATGGAAAATGCAAAGCAAGGCAGGCGTGCACAGCTCGAGGAGCCAGTCCCTGCCTCTCTGAAGTGCTCGGGCCCTGCAGCTCACTTCGGAATGGGCTGAGGGATGCTCCTGGTGATGCTTCTGCAGTGTTCAGGAGAACCCATAATGCACAAAGTGGAAGGAAAAAAAGAAAATATTAGAGTTTGCTTCCCCCCTCCCCAGTATCTTGTTTTTCCCTGTGTTCACAGCTGCGGGCTTTACTCCCTCAAAATGAAGAGCAGGACAAAAGATACGGGGTGGCCCTATGCAGTGCTGCCCATACTGCAAGAAAGCTTCCCAGGGATCCTCTGTGTCCCCCCGTTCTCCCCACGAGTCTTTTTAATGGCCATCCCCCGTGCCGGTGAGCACCTGCAGAAGGGATCGGGAGTTGTGTTTCAAAGCTGCTCTTAGTGGAATTTTCCAGGCCGCCTCCGCGGCTGGAGCCAGCCCCGTTGGCTCGAGTCCCCCGCCTCGCAGCCTGGCCGCCTCTCCCCCCGAGCCGCGATTTGATTGTTGTTGCCATTCACTGGGCTGATTATTTAGAAATGTGCCTGGGCCACCTCCTTCCCCCGTGCCCTCGCAGCCCCTTCCTCGGCCGGGAGCGCTCTGCTGTGTGTGCCGAGCAGTGAGCAGGGGAGGTCAGCGGGCGTGGGGCCTGGGTCCCATGCGGAGCCCCGGGGAGTGAGGGGAAGCAGCTGATGGCTGGTTTTCCTCCGCCAGCCCGTGGGAAAGGAGTTGGTGTTTGAAAAGTGCATTTCCTGGAGCGTGATGCTGGCCTTTCTCCTTTTTTTTTTTTTTTTTCCCCTCCTTTTTCTCTTTTTTTCTTCCCTAATGTGCTGACCAAGGGGAGCATGAGTGCTTAATGATTCTGTGAGAGAAGTAGAGGGGACAGTGTTGTCACCTCTGCTAGTGGGTAGGAGTATGAGTCCCACGGGGCTCTGAGCTGTGCCCATCATACTCTGTGGTGTTGGTGTGCACTGAACCTGGCACCATCATCCATTAGCCCATATTAACCTCTTAACCAAGTGAGGTGGGATAGAAAATGTGTTTGGGCACTGTCAGGTGCTGGCAGAGTTGAGCTGCCCTGCCCTGTGCCAACTTGGTGTTCCTGGGCTTTATCCCAGCCAATGGGGATCTCCACAGCCCAAGAAACCCATTCTCCTGTGATGACTTGGTCGCTCTGTTTTTCCTGCCATGCTGTGGACACTGGTGGTTCATGCTGCTGGGACCTGTGAAGGACGTCTGGGGGAAGATGAAGGGCAGATGCTGATCTCTCCTTTTAGAGGGGCTTTGCACTGGGGACAGAGCAGCAGTGTTTTTTTTAGGGTTCCCTGCACCATTTCTCTGTTGGGTTCTTTCTTCTTGATCCAGTGCTCTCTCTGCCTCAGGGATTCACAAAACCAGGCTTTTTCCACTGCTGTGGTTGAAGCCACATTTGGCTGTGGGAGCAGGGGTGCAGGCTGAATACAGCTGTCCTTGTGCTGGGTGATTTGGTCCTTTCCCACTATGATGCTGTTGGGAGGCCCTGTTGCTTCCTGGCTCTGCAGGGCTGGGCTGTCTGAACTAATCTCAGGATGCTCTTGCCCCTTGTACCCACTGCTGGAGGTTGTTGTCCCAAGAATCTAATAGTGCTTGGGAAGGCTAGTGCAGCACTTCAGCCACTAGCCACAACCCTGCCTTGCTTTATCATGGGGTCACTGTTGTAGGGTATATGTGCTCCAGCTACCCATGCTGGTCTGGGGGTTTGATGCAGGTGAGTGCTGAAGCTGAGACCTCTCAGGTCAGGCCTGGAGCATCTCCTGCTGGTCCCCATCTCAGCTGGCAGCTCCTCACCCCTCTACAACCCTGTGCTTGCCCTGCAGGGGTGCAGTCCCGGGAGAAGCCTCTGGAGGAGAGCGCTGTCCCTGCCCGCAAGCGGACCCCCAGCGACAGCCACTATGAAAAGAGCTCACCAGAGCCCAGCTCGCCCCGCAGCCCCACCGTCCTCTCACCTGAGGTGGTCAGCACCATCGCAGCCAACCCTGGAGGGAGGCCCAAAGAGGTGTGCTGGAGTAGGGAGTGCTGGGTTTGGGGGGTGGCTGACTGCGGAGACATGCCTCCAGGTAGGGGAGAGGGGGATGGTTTGCTCAGCATTCACAGCATCCATAGAGTTGGGGATCAGTGATGGTTTTTGTGGTGGTGGTGGTGGTAGTTAGCAGGGAGAAGGTGAAACCCTTCCTTTTGCCCCCTCTGCCCTCTCCTTGGGGTGTCCTACAGGTTTGTGTCCATCATGGGGATGAGACTGACCCTTTTTCCTGATCTTCCCAGCCTCACCTCCACAGCTACAAGGAAGCCTTCGAGGAGATGGAGGGTGCCTCCCCCACCAGCCCACCCTCCAGCGGCGGTGAGATTTCTCCCCCCACCCCAGCCTTCCCTGTGTCACCACAAACCCCTTACTCCAACACCTGTAAGTGCTGTGGCTACGGGAGGCAGAGGGGCTCAGTGGGTGGCTCTGGGCAAGCCAGAAATTTGCCAAGGGTCAGACAGCTCCAGGTTCCACATACCCACCGCCATGTTAACCATTCCTCCTCTCCATCCTCCTTTCTCCTCCACATCCTGCCACTCCATGCATGCTCCACTTACTTCAGCATCCCATGCTTGGTACCTCGTCTTGGCTTTTTCTCACCCTCCACTCACTGGGGTGTTTTTTTGATGGGATCCCACGATTGGATGAGGAGAGAAGCATGCTTTCACCCCATCCCAATCCTGCATCTCCCCATTTTTCTTACTGGCATGGCATGAAGAGAAGCAAAACTGCGGTGGCAGGCGAGTGGGAGCGGGGAGGCAGGAGGGACTGAAGATCAGGAGGGCAGACACACACCATGTCACTTCTTGCTCACAGTTCCAAAGGCAAGAGGGGAAAAAGGCTGGGATGCATGCTCTTTGCATGCATCTTGTCTCTGCTCCTCCAGTGCAGCATCTCTGTTCTGACTTAACCTCTCTCAGTCATGGTGGGTTTGTGTGGACTGGGTTTGTGTGACCAGCTTGAGCAACAAACCCTGAGGAGCAGCCACACGTCGGCACAGCATGGCTTGGGCCAGAGCAGTGCAGTGGAGCAGCCAGTCAACTGGGAAACCCATTAAAAAGATGTCAGCCCCCCATCCTCTCTAAAGCACTTCTGTAGGCTGAAGGCTGAGGGATGCTCTAGGGTTGGGGATGCTTGGGCTGAGCGCAGCTCCCTCTGATGCCATGTCCTGGTTGCAGTGAAGCCACCTGCCCCCCACAGCTCAGCCTAAGGGGTCTGGGGTTGTTGCTCTTCCTTCCCTGCAGTGCTCTGAAGTTGAGCCCTGTCTCTTGGGATGAGGAGATGAGAGTGGGAGCATTGCCGGGGTGCTTGGCAGCTCGGAAATGGCCCTGTTGTTCCTGGGGACTGAGAGCTCAGCTCTGGGTCAGCAGCAGCTCCTTTGGCAGTGGGTCAGTGGCTTTGGGGGATGAGTCACTTGCAGAGGTGACAGACACAGCCTGGCTGGGGTTGTGGTCCTGAGACAGTGCTGCTTATCCAGCAGCCAGGAAAGCCTGGGAAGCTTGAAATTGCAGCTTTCAGGCCTTGCCAAAGTGGCCCTGGGGGATACAGGAGCAATTGCCCTCTGTTGGGGGATGTTGGTCCCGGGAGGATTCCTGGCCCTGTGAGGACCCTGCTATTCATCAGCCAGCTGAGGTGTGAGCTGACATTGTGGCTTGAGGTCAGCTGGATTTGAGGAAATCAGAAGGGAAGGTGCCACTGTCTTAGTTTCCCAGTGACTTGGCTGCTCAGCTGCTCCAGCCCCAGGCTGCTGGGTGGACCTGGCCTCAGGGAAAGGGTCTGGCTTTCCTCTAGACCTCCCAGCACCCACTGCCTCCCAGCCTTGCCACAGGCCCTGTGCCTGTGCCACCTGTCAGAGACATTCAGACACAGCTGGAGGCTCGTGCCTTTCGGTCTCTCTTGCTGAAGGTGATGCCCTGAGGTTTCCCCTGATATGGGAAAATACAGCATCAGGGAGATGGGGCAAACCCAGTGTGGAGATGAGAGGAGGTGCAATCTGCTTAGGGCGGTCTGCCCTGCCCTGTGAAACCCCGCCACCATCCATCCCATAGCCATACGCACATACACAGCTCCTGCTGGTGTGTATGTCTGGGCACAGGGGTGCAGAACTCACATGTACATTGCCATCTCTCTGTGTGAACATTCTCACCCACCCATTGAGCTGGTCTGAAGGGCAAGTTTTTTTTGGCAGTCCTTCTGTCCCTTTTGTGGGGGTGATGAGCTGCTCTGGGACAGCTGGATTCCAGCCAGATGTGGGGATTGGCAGAAAGGAGTTCAGGTGTGGGAGAGCTGCGTTGGGATGGCTGCTCACATGGGGGAAATGAAAGGGGCTTCATGACTTTATGGTGGGACTTTATGGGGATGGTGGTGGGAGATGGGGTCTGGGCCTGCCCTGATGGGAGTTGTCCCCTTTCTCCATCCTGCCAGCTTTGCAATGGGGCAGGGTGCTTGTTCCCAGTCACCTCCCACCCTGTCTCCTTTCCCAAAGTATCCTTCTGCAGGGTGTTGCCTCATTCGAGGGCATCCCCGTGTTCTCAGCAGCCCTCCCTTGCAGCCAGTGGGTGGGATGGGCTATGGGGGCTCTGAGCCCACGGGCAGCTCCAGCCTTTCTGAAGTGTCACCTCTCAGCCCTCCACTAACATTCTTGTGTCCACTGTGCCGACAGTGCGCTCTCCCCCTGGCCTGGCCAAGACCCCGCTCTCAGCACTGGGGCTGAAACCCCACAACCCGGCTGAGATCCTGCTGCATCCAGTGGGAGGTGAGTGTAGACATGGGGACTGCAGGCAGATTTTTTTGTGGGGGCATCTGTGAGGTTACCCCGGAAGGGTCCCTAGTTTGGAGAAGGCACTTCCATCTCCCTTTTGGGGCCAGATGGCTGTAGGGGTCCTTGCTGCCTTTTGTGGGGACTCTGGGACTGTGTAAGCGTGGGGGATGTTTGTGCTGCCCTGGGGGGCTCAGCACAGGAAGGTCTTCAGCAGTGAAGGCTAGATAACCCTGTGTCTCTGTTTCCTGCCCAGCCCCATATTCTTCCCTCTCCCACCCCCTACATTCCTTCTTCTCCCTAGGACAGCTGGAGACAGTTTGGTCTCTGGGAGCTGAGCCTGTCAGCCAGAACAATATCCAGAGCTCTTTCCACCCTGGACAGCAGTTTCTGAGTGCAAAGGCCCTGCTGTCCTGGGGACATGTCCTGGAGTAGCCTGCCAAGCCAGACTTTACTGCTCCCCAGCACCCAGGGCCCCTTCCTGAGGCAGCTCAGGGCTGAGTGTAACCTCCTCAAACCCATCTGAGCCTGGGGGCCACAGGCTGATTGAGCTCGCTCTGCAAGACCCTTCTCCCTCTGCCCTCAAGGGTGAGCTGATGCTTTTTTTTGTGCTTGCTGGGCTTCTTGGAGGAGCCCTTGGATCATTTGCTGCTGCACTGTTCCCTCTTTCCCATCTGAAGCTAGCCTCCTGGGCTTTGGACATAGTTTCTGGGATGTTGACGTGATGTGGGGATGTCTGAGGCTGGATTTCAATTTGGAGCACAGTGTTGGGAGGTGTGGGGCTCTCCTTTGTGGTCTGTGTGCCCCTGCTTGAGCAAGGCAGAGCTGCTTAACTCTGATTTCTCTTTCTGTCTTGCACCTTCCTTCCTCCTCTTCCCACTGTCATCACTCCCCTGCCCCTCCATCTCTCAGAGCTAGAAGGGGAAGCGGGCGGTGACTCTGAAGAAGGTAAGAAAGGCTTTCCTTTCTCTCTGTCTCTCTTCCTCATGCAACCTCACTGTTGGGACTGTCACTCAGAGCAGGCCCAGGCGTCTGTTCCAGCACACTTCCCTTGTGCTGTCCCTCAGGGATGTCGGAGCCCAAGTCTCGCCTGTCCTGCTCCCTTTAGAGGAGGGGCACATCATGCCTTGTGTCGTGGTAGGATTTCTCAGTGTCCAAGTTGGACCTGAAGGTCTGTCATACTGTGTGGCAGTCATCCGTGGGGACTGAGAGCTCTTTGTCAGTGAGTGGCATCCTTACTGGTGGCACACTAGGGTTGCTGGCATGCTACCGCCAGCTTTGGATGAGCCTGGCGGGGATCTGGGAGCAACAGCCCCAGTTATAGACTCCTTCCCTCCCCTTTTGGCTTTGCTATTGCCATTCAGAGTGAAAATAAACCAAAGTGCAGCACAAAAGGTCAGCAGGCGCAGAGGCCACCAGTGTGTTGCCAGCTCAGCCGGCTGAGCAGTGGTGCAGCACCAGCAGCTGGTGCACATCTTCTGCCTACCAGGCAGCTGCCCAAATTCCCCCCACCTCTCTGTCTCTGGGTTGTGCCACTTTGGGGATGCCAAGGATGGGGCTGAGCTGGGACGTCAATTCAAGAGTGGCTGTGCTGACTGGACATGTGGCTGGGCTCTGGGATGGCACATCTGGTGTATGGGGACACAGGCTTTGGGAGTGGCTGTGATTCCTTGGAGTGCTGCCTGCTAGGTAACGGTTGTTGGGTGGTTTTGCTTCCTCTTTCAGTGAGTTTTTGGGCCCTCAGAGATGGGATGAGGAACTGTATGTTCAGGATGGGTTTTGGGGAAAGGGTGTCTCTTCTTGGTGGGTGCGGTGCTTCCTCTAGCCCTAGCAGCCATCAGCATTTCTTCTTGGAAGTTTCTCAAAATGCACACAGCCAAAACCTGAACACTGTGTGATACTGGAGAAAGTGTTTGCTTGAAAAAAAATTCTACTTTCAAAACTGATTTTTCTGTGATGGCTTTTTGGATATATTAAAGGAAGCAAAGCTGGATTAAAACCAGGCTTTTCCCCCATGAGTTCCCCAAAATTTCTGTGCAGCTTTAAGTCTCCAAAGACTCAAACATTGCCTCTCCTCTCCTTCCCACTAACCTTCAGGAGCTCAAGCTGTCCTGCTGTCTCTGTCCTCTTGAACGATGGTTGACTCCCAAGCAAGGATGTCCAGTGACCCTGCACTGCCCAGGCTGAGTGGCCACCATGGGCCTCTTGCCTTGCTTCATCCTCTCTAAAATGATATTTTTGGGCATTGAATCTATGGTTCTGAGAAGGGACTGGTGTTTTGGCTTACTGCTGGCTTAGGACCCTCTGCACTTAGCCACACATTCCAGGAGCCACACTCCAGAAGGGGGAGTCCCTGCCCCTCCATGCTCTGCCTAGCAGATCTCAGCTGGAATGGCTGCCCCGTGTATGGGAGATGCTTTGGCAGTGTGGGAGCTCAGGATGTGGCTCTCAGCTCTGAGGAGGCTTTAAAACAGTCTGACACAGATGCAGCACTGGGGATTTCTGGCCAGAGTGCAGCCCTGCTCGGATCTGGGATTCCCAAACAAATACCCATCTCCTTGGTGACTCACAGCTTCTCTATTTTCCCACCCATTTTCCCATCTCCAGAGTCCCTTCCAAGAAAACACAAGGAGGCAAGATCAGATTTTTCAACCTAAAAAAAATCCTGCCTGAAACGTCCTAACTTTTCTTTTCTCCTGTCCTGTATTGAATCAGTGTACTGGAACCTGTGCCCATGGCCACACACCTTACTGTGGCACAGGCTCCAAACCCCCTGCTCCTGCCTTTTTAGGAGGGGCTGGCATTTTCACAGCCCTATGGTCTTAACCTCTTGCAGACTGACTCATATGTACTGTCTGGCTAATTTTAGTCTGGGCTGGGGAGCTGGGAAGGGGAAAAGTGAGTAGCTGTGAAATTAATTTAATTACCTAAGCTGCCATGAATTTCTTGCAGCTGCCCTGGGTAGTGCCTCATCTCTGTCAGTCAGGATGTCCTGCCCTATATGCTGGTACCCAGCCTGTGTAGAGGTTCATCATCTGGTTTTGGCTCAGATCTTCCCTGGGGTTGTTGGCCAGGGACATCAGCCCAAAGGAGGGACTCCTCCTCCCCTCTCCACAGACAGATGGGGCACAGAGATGCTGCAGGGGAAGGAGTGGGACCTATGACAGTCTTTTTCCTTGCACATCTCAGCTCCAGCTCTGAACATGGAGCTGTGCAGTGGCGTTGCTGACTGTGAGCAGGCCAGCTTGCCAGCAGGTTGAGCCAGAGCCCAGTTGTTATGACTAATAATAACAGTAATGATGTTTGTCATGCTAATTACTACTGCAGAGCTGCTTTGGGCATGGCCAGCCTGGAGCCAGGGACCGGCAAGTCTGTCTTGCCCTTAGGGTTTGATGCCAGTGGATCTTGCATAGGGCAAGCTGAGGTGTGACGTGGCTGTGGGGCTTGGGGGAATGGGACTGAAGCTGCAGCCCCTTCCTCTGGTGCAGCTTTTGGTGGGGGCTGTGGGGGCTTTTTTCCCCAGGATGGGGACCAGCCTGGGTGGAACAGAAGGTAGGGGGCAAGGTATGAGAGAGGACTGGGTCTGGTGTCTGCCATGGCTAGTAATGGCCAGCCCAGCCTGCTGCTCCTGGCACGGGACAGCTTGGCGACTCTAAAGGAAAATCACTTTTCTTGGTCACACTCATGGGCTGCGGTTTCAAGCTGGGCTGGAAGTGAAAGTGTTGGATGCTGCAGTGGAAATAGCTTGAGTTGCCCTCTGGTCTGCTGCTGAAGATGGCTGGCTGAGGTGGGCTGCAGAGGGCAGGGACCAGTCATTCAGTCACCAGGGACAGGGCACTGTCATCACAGTCCCGTGTGAGTCAGTGCAGGCTGGGCAGAGTCCCTGGCTCTTTATTTAGGGGCTGTGGATGAACAGGGAGCAGGACGTGTTCTCTGTGGCATCCTGGGTGGGAGGGACGCTGACTCAGAGCAGGGTGAAGGGGCTGTGGCAGGCAAAGGGATTGTGGTCCCATGTTCCAGTCCCCTCAAGGCAAGGGGTGACTCCCCTCCCTGTACCCTGACTGGGGTCTTCAGCATTCTTGAAGCAACTTCAAGGTCTTGAATGAGTCAGATGTATTTTCACACAGCCCCTGGTGAAAGAGGTAAGGGGAAATGTTCAGCTGGAGCAGGTCAGCTCAAGCACTTTCACTGGCGTGAAATATGGGTCCTGGGAAGGGTGTGGTCCCCTTCCCATGCAAGCTGTAAGCTCATCTGTTTCCACTTCTCTTTTGCTGCAGAGCCCAGGAGCTATGTTGAGTCAGTGGCCCGCACGGCCACAACGGGCAGGGGAGGGACACTGCCCGCTGCCCAGCCCGCTGCCCAGCCCGCTGCCCAGCCTGGAGGCCCAGAGGTGCCCACCAGGAATGGCACTGTCTCCAACTCCTTCATCGCCCCCAGCCCTGTCTCCACCAGCAGCCCTATTCACAGCATGGATGGGTAAGGCAGTGGGTGCAGGTCCCAGGGACTGGGTGGGGCTGGGGCTGAACCCTGCTTGGTGCACAGGCTTAGAATCACAATCACAGAGTCACAGAATCATTAAGGTTGGAAAAGACATCCAAAATCATAC